ACATAGGAAAGGTCCCCGAATTGAAATTGATGCATTTTTTGGATTAATTATGATTTTTTTAATTTGATTTATTGAAAAATTGTCGTATAAAATATAGATAAATACGACACAAAGAATAGTATTATACTTCTGGTTGAATCTTGTAGAACTGCGGAGGACTCAGTCCGAGTAAATGATATGCAGTTTATGCATAATAGGAACTAGCATAGGAAAGGTCTCCGAATGAAATGATGCATTTTTGGATTAATTATAATTTTTTAAAATTGATTTATTGACAAAAATGTCATATAAAATATAGACTCAAAGAATGGTATTATACGTTTGGTCTGAGGCTTGTAGAACTGCGGAGGACTCAGTTCCGAGTAAACTGAGTATGCAGTTTTATTGCCATAATAGGAACTAGCATAGGAAAGGTTTCCGAATTGAAATTGATGCATTTTTGGATTAATTATGATTTTTTTTAAATTTGATTTATTGACAAAATTGTCGTATAAAATATAGATAAATACCGACACAAAGAATAGTATTATACTTCTGGTCTGAATCTTGTAGAACTGCGGAGGACTCAGTTCCGAGTAAACTGAGTATGCAGTTTTATTGCCATAATAGGAACTAGCATAGGAAAGGTCTCCGAATTGAAATTGATGCATTTTGGATTAATTATAATTTTTTTAAAATTTGATTTATTGACAAAAATGTCATATGAAATATAGATAAATACCGACTCAAAGAATGGTATTATACGTTTGGTCTGAATCTTGTAGAACTGCGGAGGACTCAGTTCCGAGTAAATTGAGTATGCAGTTTTATTGTCATAATAGGAACTACCATAGGAAAGGTCCCCGAATTGAAATTGATGCATTTTTGGCTTAGTTATGAGTTTTTTAAAATTTGATTTATTGACAAAAATGTCATCTAAAATATTGATAATATCGACTTAAAGTTTAGTCAGAAGCTTATAAAACTGTGAAGGAGTCATTTCCGACCCCATAAATCATATATATTTTTGATCGGCATCAACAGCTGAGTCGATATAACTATGTCCGGTCGAAAACAAATTTTTGAAAATTATTTCGATTTTGCAAAAAATGATAAGGGGTTACATCATTAAAATTGTGAAAAATCGACAAAAATTTTCATGTTTTAACATTTTAATTGATTATGCAGTTTTATTGCCCTAATAAGAACTAGCATTGGAAAGGTTTCCGAATTGAAATTAATGCATTTTTGGCTTAGTTATGAGTTTTTTTAAAATTTGATTTATTGACAAAAATGTCATATAAATATAGACTCAAAGAATGGTATTATACGTTTGGTCTGAGGCTTGTAGAACTGCGGAGGACTCAGTTCCAAGTAAACGTAGTATGCAGTTTTATTGCCATAATAGAACTAGCATAGGAAAGGTCTCCGAATTGAAATTGATGCATTTTTGGATTAATTATAATTTTTTTAAAATTTGATTTATTGACAAAATGTCATCTAAAATATTGATAAATATCGACTTAAAGTTTAGTCAGAAGCTTATAAAACTGTGAAGGAGTCATTTCCGACCCCATAAATCATATATATTTTTGATCGGCATCAACAGCTGAGTCGATATAACTATGTCCGGTCGAAAACAAATTTTTGAAAATTATTTCGATTACATCATTAAAATTGTGAAAAATCGACAAAAATTTTCATGTTTTAACATTTTAAATTGATTATGCAGTTTTATTGCCCTAATAAGAACTAGCATAGGAAAGGTTTCCGAATTGAAATAAATGCATTTTTGGCTTAGTTATGAGTTTTTAAAATTTGATTTATTGACAAAAATGTCATATGAAATATAGATAAATACCGACTCAAAGAATGGTATTATACGTCTGGTCTGAATCTTGTAGAACTGCGGAGACTCAGTTCCGAGTAAATTGAGTATGCAGTTTTATTGCCATAATAGGAATAGCATAGGAAAGGTTTCCGAATTGAAATTGATGCATTTTTGGCTTAGTTATGAGTTTTTTAAAATTTGATTTATTGACAAAAATGTCATTTAAAATATTGATAAATATCGACTTAAAGTTTAGTCAGAAGCTTGTAAAACTGTGAAGGAGTCATTTCCGACCCCATAAATCATATATATTTTTGATCGGCATCAACAGCTGAATCGATATAACTATGTCAAATTTTAACAAATTTTTGAAAATATTTTAGATTTTGCAAAAAGTGGGTTACATCATTAACATTGCCAAAAAACGACAAAAATGTTCATTTCTTAAAGTTTAAAAGTAATCATGTAGATTTATGAAGGTATAAAAAACTCACGTGGGACTGCTTGACGAATGAAAATTAAAACTATTTTGGCTAAGTTATGAGTTTTTCAAGCTTTGAATTGTCGAAAATATTGTCATTTAGAAAATTTGCCAATAGATGTTTATTTTGAGGTAAAGTTGACCAAATAAAGGTATAAATAAGGCTAATTCAAAGTGCTGCTACTAACAATGTGATCTATTCCAAGAAGAGCCTTTCAGCCTAAGGCATCAATTTGTATCTCAGCGGTGACCCATTAGAGTAAGGATTCCCAAGTAGCTCTTTCTCAGAGGACTCCCCGATAGATTCCCCCATTAATAAGCTCGATTACACAGTCCTGGGCGGCTTCAATGCCAAAACAGGCTGTCCTTACTTCGTCTCACAAACTGTTTCGTCATCGTCTGCCGCCTTTTGCCAACTCATTTGATTTGCCTTCGCTTATTGATACATCCATACAATAAGGACGAGGACAAGGACTTGGGTGGTGCGTGTGTGCGAGTGCTTTTATGGCATACTTTCGGCAAGGCGGTCGTGTGTGAATATGTGAAATTTGTTACACATTTTTCGCTTCGTCTTCGGGATTGAAAGTGTGATTGTTTAGTGGATTTATGGGCATATGAAATTAGGATTTAATGTGCATATGCTTTGTGTCTGAAGTGGATATATATGCCGCAGGCCTTGTGGAGAGCCGGGTGCTTAACATAATGTTTATGATGTAACGAAAGAAATTGCAAATCGCCGTTTAGCGCCTGTACTTGGAGGGGCTTATTGGTTGAGAAGAAAATCCCAGCCATAGAGACACTCGGCATTTGAACCTGAGATATTGTTTCCACAGAAATAAAATGTTTATATTTACTTTTCCAGATTCTATATGGAAAAATTTGATGAATTTATGGATTTATGTTAATGATCTACTTTGGACTTTGAAGAATATATTAACATTTATATTATGAAAGCATAAATCTATATGTTTTATATTGGAAATGTTAAAAACGGTCTTTTATTAGAAAGGAGTTCTTTTACTAGTAGTAACACTTGTTACCTAATAATTAAAGAACACTATTATAATATTTGTATTATCTAAATATACAACATTTTCTCTTTATTATGTTAAATATATATTTATATAATATAAATACAGCTTTCGGCAGATTAATTTACATTCCAAAGGTCCCCAATTTCAACTCTTCTTCCTTTCCTTGTTAATATTTAATTTAAGCAGTTGCATTTATATATATATTTCTGTTTATGCACCTGTTCTGTTCACTTGGGACTACTTGGAGTACCCGAGGACTAGATGCAATTCGAATGCTCCTCACTCATGCATAGGCAAGCCCCCATTTGATATTATAAACCACTTTGACTTAGCCCAGTCGGCATTGCCTAATGGGCCACTTTCTCAAGCTCACTAGGCGCAATTTTGCCATCTCCTTACGCTGCTTTAAGCCAACTTTATTAAGTCGAGTCGACTTGACTGGCATTCCAACTTAATAAGCGCAACGGCAACATTCAGAGGCAGCAACAACAGGCAAATGGCGCTATTTAAATGCTAAACAACTCTATTAAGTTGCACGACACACTCAGAGATACGCACAAACACATACACACTGGCATGCAGGAAGCTTGCCTCACTTTCTCCCATATCCAGTTTTCCCCCCATATACATTTTCCAGTATCCAGTATCCAGTATGTTGGATCCCATATCCATGCCAAGGGCAAGCTTAGCATTTGTCTGCAGAGGGAACTGAACCTCAGCACGTTTCAATACAATTTACAATAAATAAAATTTAAAAGCGAGAAAAAAGACTGCGACAAGAGCTAAAGCAACTCGCATTCAGAGACACTCGGGGCCCTGGCAATGGCGGGAAAAGTGGGCAAGGTTGGAGGGGGAAAACTGAGTTAATGGGGCCGTTTGGGGGCGAGAAGCTGGCAGACAAGAAATGAGCACGTGACGACACTGGGGATAAGTAAAACGATATAAAAACGATGCGACTGCAAACTCAGGTGGACTCAGATGGCTGACAATTAAATACTCTTAATAGTCATAATTAAGAAATCAATGCAGCAGGTCTTTTTGATTAAATTCAAGTCTTGTTCAGTAGTTTATACACTTAATATCAAAGAGAGGCATCCAGCCTTTGTAATTAAATTTAGTATAGGTTGGCTTTGCTTGCAAAAGAAATTGTTATAATTTCAAGAACATAATAATTATGAAATCATACCGCAAATGAATAATTATTATTCCGGCTATTAGTTTGCATGTTTGCCATTAATTTAGCCATTTTAAATATTGAAATGTTGCAGAAATATGCCTCTAATTTGATTCTCTTTAATTGATTAAAATTGATGAATTACTATTACCCAAACATGAAAATAATATTTCTCCAGGCCATTAATATAATTTTAAAATATATGTATATGTGCAGAGTAATAAATTCAGTCTTTCCCTTTACAATAATAATCGATAGCAAATATAATGCCACTTCGAATTCAAAACAAAGTAAAAGTCTTTATCAATGCACTTGTAACAAATGAGGCAACTAAAAGCCACACTTTATCCTTTTAGTTTACCTTCAAAGCTAATCGCCTGCTGCATGTACCCCATCGGAGGGGTTTAAAACTTTCTGCAGATGCTCTCCGCTTCTCGTGTATACATAACATATATGGAAATTCAAGCTGTGGAAGGTTGAGGTGGAATAACAGCGACTTACCTTTCTCGGGTATCGCATTGACGACCGTATCCTCGCGTATGTCCTCAAGTAGCTCATCCTTATTTTGCATTTCCGCTGCGAGATTTCATTCCGAGTGCCGTCGAGCCGTGAAAAGTGTTGATCCAGTGCCAGCGTCGCCAGATGGATGGAGGATGCAGGATTCGAAGGAGAACCGAGAAAGTGAACATTTAGAGAGGCAGTTAATATTGGCTTGGTTATCCTTAGTGCAAATTCAATTTGTGGCATGGAGTGGGTGAGGAATATAAACAGATACCCCGACTCGTTCTCCTCCTTCCCCATGAAATTGGCAAGCTCCCCAAAAACCCCAAAAACCGCACCCAACACGCCCTGAAAGTTGCTTGCCTTCGTTCGAGCATTTTTCCAATATTCTGGGGTCGCTTCCCCAACGCCTTGCCGTGTGGTTGAGAGCAGCTTGTAATTTTCGCAGCCACAAAATGAAGTTGCAATTTGACTTTTGTGCAGCAACCGGAATCGATTATTTGGGGTTCAGTGAAAGAGAGTGAGAGAGAAATGGTATGAATTCCCCGGGTAACAGGTAAAATGCATTTCCAGGCACGCATCATAAAATATTTAGCAAATTCTGCCAAATGGGTAAATAGATTTACGTTTATGAGCTCGCGTTTAATGTGTGTATGGAAGCCAGAACCGCGTGGCAGCCGTAGGGGAAAATGTGGCCAATGTAAATATAGCCGGTAAATCGAAAGCGAATAACTTAATTAACAGAGAATTTCGTTTGCAATTTATATGACAATTTTGTACAAATAATATGCAATTCCCACACACTACACTATAGGAACATGCTTAATTTGATTAAAGAGCTTTGGGTTTTGCAGCAATAAGGGTTCTTACTTGATACTATTTCTTATTCCCTCAACCGCTTCACTATTTTCTTATCGATTTTCATTTCCATTTGGCCCGGCACCTTGGCACACTTAGCCGTACTTATGGTACTCCGTCAGCCGCATAAAATAATGTCATCTATAACCGGGGAGACCTTGAACGCGTGTCTCCGTGCGTGCAGACAGACGAGTCAATAAAGCAAATGGATTCTCATTTGGCGAGGAGGAAAGTCGAGCAATAGGGGGCTGCGAATTTTCAATTAATTTTGGTGTAGCGACTGCTTCAAGTCGAAGTCTGAGCCGTTTGCATTTTAATAAACGTCGGACCGGTCCGGGCACATGCTAACCAAGGCAAGGATATACTTTCCTACGACCGACTTTCCCCACAACTGTCGCAGATGGTTGGCAATGCAAATACATTTTGTGGTTGCTGCAAACGCACAAAAGTATGCAATAAATTCGATTTCTCCTATGTAGATTGGGAGAATTGTTTGGTGGAGGCGAGGAGGAGATGGGACGGGGGAGCCAGCAAACATCAACTGCTGGCGAACAAGTTTCTTGGTCTGGCTGCTGTTTGTAATATTTTGTGTTGCATACTTGCAGGCGCCTGTCACTTCCCATTTCCCCCAAATTCCCAATCCTTGCGGCTCCTGGCCCATGTGCAGACATGGAAAACGCATCCAGCGGGCCAACAAATGTTGCCAGGACTGCTACGTGCCACAGCTCGAGACGCCGCGCACACACACATACACACACACACACTTGCATAAAAACCGTAGCAAGGCAAAGAGTTGTGAAAGTTGCCCCCAAAAAAGTTTTGCCTTTTTGGCCCGTCGCTGTTGCTCTTTTTGTGCTTAGCATGACGTGATTTGCAGGCAATACGACGTGACCGTGAAAGATTCGCAGCGAGACTTAATGAAGGATGGAGCAGAGGAGGTCGACCCGGATGCCGGGGGATTGTGATGAACATTTCGAGATTGCCAGCAACTCTGTGGCAATTGAGTTGCACGAGACTGGGGCAGCACCAGCAGCAGGAGACCCAGATGGATCCCGATAAGGATTCACGACTCGAAGCCGACAGCGTTTCTGCCACTTTTAGTTACACCATCAAAGCCCAGCAAAGAAAGGCTTCTAGTTAATTGTTTCCAGATATTTACCTCATCTACGTGGGTGAAAATGTTTTATATATCCTATATTTGCTTTAATTATTATCTCATCTGTTGCAATATTTTACTTTGGTAAAACGATTTAAGTAAAATTTGTTTCTAATTTTGAATTGTAATTACATACAAAAGAGAGTTAATTTAGCATGTTAATATTAACTATATATATTTCACCTTTACGTCATTTAATTATTAAGCTTGACTCATTAGGTTCCCATTTCTTTCTTATCTATTTTGTACACCTTATTATTTATGTAGTTACTTTAAAAATATATGGTAAAGCTCATTTCGTTTATCACTCCTGTAAATACAATTTTATAACGTAAAAATCGTACTTAACTCTCTGTCATATCAACGAGAATATATCCAATAAATATTTTAATAAAGATAAATAAAAATGAAAGCAAATGTCACTTTACTTTGCTATTAAGCCATGAATAATATTATAAATCTTTAAAATTAACCCATAATACGTTGCAAAAGGCACTTCAATAAACTTTAGGTATATGAATAATTAAAGCTTTAGTATATTTTCCTAAATTAATATTAAAGCGACCCCCATTTTGTGTCCACTTAGCTGCACACCTAGAGGGCAGCTCCCATTTTTCCTGCCGCCTAACCTCAAAACTTCATTAGCCAAAAAGCACGCGCCGCCAAATTGAAACGACAGAAACAACAAACGCTCGGAAATCTTTAAGCAAAAAGAAAATAAAAGGAACTGGCAGGGAAAGGCCGGGGTAGAGTACGTTGAGCGCTATAAATTGCACGGCGGCGGAGAATAAATGTAAAGTAAATGGCGCTAATTCAAAGTAGATTTATTTATTATGCCATTTTTCCTGCGGCACAGCGCCAAGAAATATGCCTTAAATTTCCCATCCGAACATTGTCGCTGGCAGACAATGAGACAGCTACAAGCTACAAGGAGCAGGCAGCGGAACCGGAAGGGGACCACGCAGTTACAGGAAGCAGGCGCAGTACCAAGTGGCAGCACGAGGATATGGAGATGGAGGAGCAGCCCAAACACGGCGAAGGCGTAGCCAAAACAAAGCGGCAAAAACAAGGGCAAACAAATGAAAATATATTTGGCTAGAGCGCCGAAAATTATGGAACAAAAACGCGGGCCAAGCTCAAACATCCTCACGCACAGCCGCAGGACTCTATCTCTCTGCCGAAGGCTTACGAAATTTCAATACCCATAGGCGCTGGGAAGAGGAGCACCTGCTGCCACAGACAGACACTGGGCTGTTGATTTTCTTAACGCATCTAAGCCAAGAGGCCTGGCCGCCGGCCCAGATGATTTATTGGCCTGCCAGACGACCGGCGGGAAGCAGAGGTAAGAGAATCGCCGGATTATCATTTGGGGAGGTGTCAACAACTGCCCCAAAATTTGCGCAAATTTGTCTATGATTCCTAAGTGTTTGTAAGTGTTTGCTTTGGCCCGGCTAATGATTCCAATTAGGCGAATTTACACAGGCCTCTAGGGTTGCATCATGGGCGGAAAAATCCTTAATTTAATTTATCAACTGAACAATTGATTTAAATTGAAAATTCGCATGTGTGAATTTCTTTTTTTGCTTGACTTCTTTATATAAATATTTCTGTTTTCGTTTGTCATTTAAAATATCTAAACGATTTTGAGATATCAATCTTGTTGCCATCTCTAACTTATCTTTGACTAAGACTCAGATGTGCCTTATCTGTAAGCAACACCTTCAAGGACCGGCCATCAATCTCTCGCTGGCCAAGTTTCTAAGCCAACTTTGGCGGGCATCACATCGCTTTAAAGTGATGATAAAACTTGGCGAAGCTGCGAACGTGATATGGCTTCCATTCCCGACAGCGGAAAAGCAGATCTCTTACTTTGTTGCAACTTTCATGCATTTCCTCTGGCCTCAATGGAAAGATGAACACCAAAGAGAAAGCAAGACCTCGAATTGGCACACTGTGGAAAATGGACAAGTAGTTTTTGCTGGATAAATGAATATATTGGAAAATAGATAAAGGATTCTGTAATATCTGATTTAGAAGAAATATAAATATTATGTTTCGATTTCCTGGAAAATCAGGCATTCTAGATGTTGTCTGTGTTTCCAAGGATTTGCAATTTAAATGAATATATTTAAGAGATTCCAAACCCTATACCTTTCTCACTTTGTAGTATTTTGCTTACAAAATTTAAACAGACTTCGTCATATGTTTTGATTTGTTTTCTAGCATAAATTAAAGTCTTAGTGAAATCTCTGTCTCTCTGCATTTGAAAATTTTCGCGCAGGTGTTGCTCTTTGTTCTTCTGCCTCTATTTGCGTATTCATTTCGGGCCACGGAAACTTTTGGCTAATTGAGTTGTGCGGCATATTTGATATCCAGCAGACAGGCTGGTTTGGCGCTAAATTCCCGCGGGAGTTGGCCAGTCCTCAGTCCTGTCCTGTTCCAGGATCAACATTCGGCAAATTAAATTTGACTGGGCACTCGCAAGAGATCAGGTGGGTGGCACCTGGATGCCTACCTATACTACAAAGGCAACTTCAAACGCGGCCAGGAGCGTAACATGAAAAATGAAGCTTAAACAAGCACTCGCCAGGAGGCAACAGCGGAAAAGCGCAACAGCAAATGGCTCGCCCGGCAAAGGAAAACAAGAGTGGGCCCCAAATAAAATACAAATTACAAAAACTAAGGAAAATAAACAGCGGCACAACACACCTACCAACCCACCCACCCACACAGCCTCAAAGGCCAGCAGCCCCCGTGATTGTTGTGCTCCCCCCGGCTGCACCACCGCCTCTGCACACCTACAACTTTGCTGCCAGCAAGCCACGCTCGGCGTAAAATGTCCTGCATACTTTTAGATGCAGCGCGAAAGCGTGTGAAAAAAGCTAACACACAAACACACACACCGGCAACAAAAAATAAAAATGAAAACCAAAACAACAACAAAAAAAACGTACAACAAGGAAATGGCTGCGAATAAAAGGGAATTGACAAAGAAGGGCGACGAATATTTTTTTTTGTTGCCGTCCGTCCACAGGGAAATTGTTGAAAAATTGTCAAACAATTGCCGGCACATCAGCAGCAACGGCAGCTACAAAAAAAGCCAACGGATATACGAAGGGAAAACGTGGAAATGCAGCGAACCACTAGAAAAACTATTGCACCAAGCCATACAGGGAAATTAAATTTGACAAAAGCGGAATCAAAACTGACTGTAGTCCCTTGACTAACCCAGATATTGCAGGCAAATGGTGTACATTTAATCGGAATGGATATACTTTCTCAATGGATTTGCTAATTGGAATGATAATATTATCTATCTATAATCTATAAGGTATTTTAGCTTAAGCTGCATCTCTTCTGCATCTTTTTGTATTTACACAGGTAAAGTTACTATTCAAGCATAGTGAATCAAAAACAAAACAATTAAAGTCAGCAACAATGTGTTAAAAGTAAAAGTCCTTTGAATACTGACTGCTGTATCCCCAAAATCCTTATAAATCCGCCCCAAAAAGAGTCCTTTTCCCCAATTATAAAGCTGCAGTTGCAAACCAAAAATTCTCATGCAAATCCCCATCAGAATGAGAAAACATTTCACTTGAAAAACCCTTTTCGGAAAAATTCATGGGTCACAACGGAATAGTTGGTCATCGTGTCAAGTCATAAACCCAGGAACTGACGACCCAAAGTGCCATCAATCACAATGTCAATCACTTTTTGTCATAAGTAGATACCCACATAGCCGGGCAGGCACATGCGGGGGAGAATATACATATATATTTTCCAGGGGAACCCAACATTGTGTGTGCAATGTCAACGTTTGTCCACTTGTTGAGCCGCCGGAGCAGAAGGAGTCGCAGGAAGAGGCGGCTGTGCCACAGGAGGCAGCTTGTTGCCCACAAGTCATAGACAAAGAAAACTTAAGTGGTCACTTGTGTGTGTGTTTGGGAGTGTGTTTTGGTGTGTGTGTGTGTGTGTGTGCGTGGGAGGCACAGGAAGAGACAGAGAGGAGAGGCAGGCATGTGTCAGGGCAAGAGTAAGCCACAATACGCATACGCCATGTGCGCCCCTTAATTATGCTGTGGGCTCTATGCGGACAATGACAACTTAAACAGCCACTAAAGCTAACCAAGCACGTGCTGCCAGCCTGCCGCTTCCCCGGTTCAACCCTTCACCCCTTCGACCCTTCGCCATGTGTGTGCCCAATGAGCCAAGCTGTTTTTTGGACCCGGTCAGACTGCCAGTCACATAATTCACTTGAAATGACATCCAGATAGCCCGGCGAGGGTGCAGAGTTTAAGCCACTCAAAACTTTTTTGTTAGCACTTGGCAAAGGCGCCAAACTCGACCTTGTGACCAAGCACACAAGCAGCCAAAGTAAATAGAGCGTGTTAAAGCCCAGTTCGATTACACTGACCGATCCGGGGAAACTAGAGGAAAAACGAAGATGATAAATCTGTTTGCCAGTGCCTGGAAAAGTCACTTAACCCTTGGGAGACACACAAAAAAATATCTGCGAAATTGTAGATTAAAGCCAGGTTCAAAGACCAAAGAGTATTGGTAAAAGGAACAAAGGCTTTAAACTCTTCTCTCTTTCAAAAAGGAAGCCCCAAAATGTATGATACTTAAAATATTCAACTCACCCAAATGATGTGCAATGTGATCGCGCTCCTCGGACTCGCCAATTATAAAGTCCTGGTGCTGGTCGAGGTGATGCATCTGCTCCAGGTGGTGCAGGTCACCCTCATCGTCGCTCTCCTGGGCGGCACACATGGAGATCGAGAGCGAGCGGGAGAGACAGAGGAGCGAGGCGACGGCGGCGGCGGCAACAATTAGCCGCGAGGATATTTCCGGCATTCGGCGCTTCCGCTGCATCTGGCCAGCGCCGCGGCTCGTCGCTGCTTCCGCTGCTGCCAGCGGAAATATTTTAATTTTAATTTTCATTTTTTTATTTGCTAACGCCGGTCTACGCCGGTTTTTGACTGGACTGGTCTATGCCTGTTTTGTGCTGTCCGTTTTGTAATTGTTTACACTCCGACTGGCTCACTTGGAGTCCTTTGACTTCACTTTCGATTCGCAGTAACGCTCAAAACTCAAATATTTATGCGTTTCAATTTGCTCGGCTCTTTGCCGGGAAATTGAAGAAGTTTTCCATGGCATCACTGGAGGCGCTGGGCCCGAATTCGACTCTACTGCGGATGTGGACCACTGTAAAAGGAAAAGAATATTCAGTATATGTTAAATATATATATATCTGAAGTGAATGGCATGCTTTTAATTTTTTAACGCATTTATTATTGCCGGTTCCTGCCTGCAGAGCCCAACCCTCCAACCCCCATGCACTGCAGCAAGTTTTCATCATTGCATTATTAAATATCATTCCATTATTTATGCACATACAGCCCCTTGAACTCCCTTGTTGCCACAATCTATGCGTTGATGCATTATGCACGATTGCATATTAAGCAGGATGCAAAAAACTGTTAACAGTTTGCAAATTGTGCTGAAAAACGTACATAAACCTTAACGATCACAATATATACATAAATATAATTTAAATAAGAGTAAAGTTTTAAAGGGAATAATTTGGAATTTAATAAGTGGAAGCAGAAATATAAACACTTGATACTTAATATTTAAAAAGAAATATTCTATTTAACCAAACTGCACTCTCGACCCAGGGTCACAGGAATTTAAGAGCCACTTGAAGCAGGCAAGCGCTCCTTTAGATCCAATTGAGGCGGGCCAACGAGTCGTATGGGTAACTTGACATGCTTCATTTGCCCCATAAGCAGCATGCAACATTTTGTGTAGCCACAAGTCGCTTTCAGTTACACATTTTGCTCTCCACTCCATATATTTACTACTCTAGTATATGTATCATTTTATACATTCTGTATGCGCAGACTGGAGCTTTCCTTAATTGTTGCGAGCGAGCAAATTAGAAAACTCAAGGAAAAGCAGTGGGTGGGTGGAGGCATCGAGGAGGGAAACCAGGACTCGGTCAGGCCAACGGGGAATCCGAGAAAACTTGAAAACAAAAGTCAAGCGCAACGCAACGGAAAGCGGCAGAAAGGCATTTAAACTTTTGGACAAGTTTAATTTCCCGTCGAGTGTGGCTTATAGTGAGTTCCCGAGATAGCCAGAGACAGATACCGAGTTCCTGGGGAGGGCACTTGCACTCGGGTCGCTTATGAAATTGAAAGCACTTTCCATCTTTGAAGGAATTGAGTGCTGGCAATCAACTAATTGCGGTCAGATCCTGGGCAATGATTTCGACGAAAGTGCCGCCCCACCACCTTTCACCTTCCACCTTCCGAAAAAAGGGTCGCCCATTTCTGTTATTAATATTGCCACGAGTTTTATCTGTGCATTATTGCCGCCGTGGATCATCGCGGTTTGCTGTCTGTCCGCTTGCCGTTTTATTATCAGTTGACCAGGTGGAAATTAATGGAGAATAATCCCAGACTGACTTCTGTTATTGTTATTCTTTTGTCGGTCGGCTTTGTCACCTTTGTGTGGCCTCTGGCAATTTGTGGCATTATTTTTTCGGCGGGATTCTGTCCTGGCAGAATCATAAAGATAGCAGACACAAAACCGAGCAAGGGGAACGGCCCGCATAAACGCGATAACCGGCGCTGTGCTGAAAACTTGAATGAAATGTGACAAATGGTTTTGTATTTAATAAATTGGCTTAACCGGCTGGCGTGTAGCGGAACCACCGAGAACGGGTCAAAGGTGGCGGGATGACAGGTGGTGTGGCCACAGCGGGTTGACCTGACATTTATGGGCGTAATTGGCTAAAAAGCAGAACGAGTGGAAGGCGTGGCAAACATACAGACAGTCTGTTCGCAAAATTCATGTTGGTAACACAGTATATATGATTGAATTTTGTGGCATATTCCATTGAGGGGAATGCGTTTTCCTTGGATATTTTGTCGTTTAAGTTGATTAAACTCGGCAGGAATGTCTTTAACAGAATCTTTTGTTGGGCTTAAATATATCTTTTTATTACCAATAGAACTAATTAAAAGGCAGACAACTATAATAAATGCTTTCACCAGACAATTAAAAAGATACTGCATATTGCACTCGTTTCTCGACCAAATTATGAGTGATATCTCCCCCAAGACCGAAGACCAGTCCCAATTGAATGCACTCAAGGAGAGATTTGGCATCGCATTACGTCCCATTGTTCCCATCCACGGTGGGATATCTTTGATTAACAGCTTAGAGACCCGGAGACCCATCTGCCGCTCCCAGGGCAAATCAGTCCGGCCAAGTCAAACAACGTCATAATGATAAATAGCCAGAGAAGTGCGGAGAAAATGGAAAGGACATGAAAAGCCCATGCCGATGACTAGCAACTGGCCAACTTGGCAATCTTTCGGGCGAAACCCATGCCCAGAGCCGGTTGACACCTTCCCGGCTGCGTCATTAACATTTCTATTGGATGGAGTGGGTCTGGTTTGGTTGGGAGGTGTCTTGGCTCTGGCTCTGGCTCTGTTTTTATTTCGTTTATTGTGTTTTGCCTGCTTGGGCATTGTCTTGGCCGGGCTTCCGTGCCGTTTCCTGTCGCTACGTTTTTGGCCCGTTTTTGGCTCCGTCGGTTTATCGCCAGCTGTCAATCGTTAAATGACAAACAACGAAATGCGGCCAGCGATTTGCAGCCAGCTAAATGGCGTCTATGATTTCCAACTGTCAATGACAGTTGCTAATCCCCGGCATTCCTGCATTCTCCGGCTTTTTGCTCTGGCATGTCTCGGAAATGAAATAACAAATGATATCTCCCTCGGGGCCCAGTATTATTTTACCTATATAAGTATGTATATACTTCATTGCCTTATCCCCCCGTTCTGTCTGCTTTCATATTTCTCACGCGATTTCGCTGTATACCAGACACTAGACGGGGATGTTGGGTTCATGGAAAGGTATGAGAAGCGAGGCAAAAACTATATAAATATCCATGTTGTATGTATTTTTAGAAAGGTAACTCATAGTCGAGCTATTCTAATATGACATTCCTCCTCGGGTTCTGTGTACTTTACTCTTATCCGCATTCCTTGCCGCCTTCATTCGTTATTCTTTCTGTGCAAGCGTTTTGCTACTTTCGCGTGTCAGAAACTGCAGCAGAATGCCAAATAAAGGGCTTGTTTATGTCACCTGAACTGTCTGGCATCCTGGGAACTCCTTGGAGCTGGCTAGCTGTCGCTGATAATATGCAGGAAGGGGCATTAAATTGAACGAGTTGTTCCTCTATCTCCCGGAACATTTATTTTTTCGGCAATCTAAATAAGCTTGGCGTTATGCAGTTGATTTAAATTATTTATCCATTTGCCACTTTTATTATTAAGCGCCTTAAGAAAGGAAGAATTTATTGATTCAATAAATATATACTTAGCAAGGGTATTATAAGTACTGTCAGAACATGAAACTCGGTGAAGTAGTTATTTTCAGATCAGAATCAACAACTGAATCGATTTAGCCATCTCAGACAAAAATTAATTATTTCAAAAAATTGAAATTTTTATAAGGGGTTACATCGTTAAAATTTTCAAAAATTGATAATTGTTGATATTTTTAAATTTGTAAATTGAGTATGCAGATTTATTAACCTTATGAAAACTAACACAGAACAGTTTTCCGAATTAAAATTAATGCTTTTTTGGCTTAGTTATAATCAATTACTATTTACACCAGTGCGTATACGTAATATTTTTTTGCTATAAATGATATACTTCAAAATTAATAAAAAGTCGTTGTAAAGGGAATTTTAAACGTCTAAGAAAGCCAACCAGCAGTCAAAAGGCGAATGAGTGCTTCCCATCTAAATTTAGAACAAAAGTATGCAGTATACCAGAGTCAAAAAATTACGTATACGCACTGGTGTATTCAAAAAATCTAATTTTTTACATTTTCAGTATGCAGATTTGTTAACCTATGAAAAATTCACATGGGGCAGCTTTCCGAATTAAAATTATTGGTTTTAAGCTATGAGTTTTTTTAACTTTGAAAATTATCATACAAAAATCTCCATAAGTATCGATTCAAAGACTTTGAATATGTAAACCCAAAAAGTCAATCCTCCCATGTCCACATGCAATTTCTCATCCCATCCATTCTGAAATATTAAAAAAATTATATTTCTCCGAGATGAATTAAGAACATGCTTTTAACCCAGTGTCAAACATGCCATGGCCATTCTTCCACTTGTTTTTGGAATTAATTTTTGGTACCATGTCTAAACAGTCCTGCATTTGTCTCCATTCTCTGGCAAATCTAATTAATTTGTGCCCCGGCCACAATGTGCATTTACAGCTTTGTAATAACTCATCTGTCCAGTGCTGCTGTGCATCGCTCGGAATAAAAATCAAATCACAGCCCCGTCCATCTCGGCTGTCAGTTGCCAGGGGCTGCTCCTCGGTTTTCTCCGCCTTGTCTCTCCTCGGTCGGGGGGTTGCTTTTTCTTTTAATATAACAAGCCATGCGAAATGCGTATATAAAAAGATGGGAAAATGTTTGCTCCAACGCCCGCTCACACTAACTAGCCAGCAGCAGGAGCAGCAGCAGTTGCATTTCCCTCACAGTGTGTATTTTTTTCGCCTTGCATTTGATTAACCTACAAAAAGGCATTCGGGCATGGGCAGCAGCTTGGGCTGGGGGCGTGGCCGATTGTTGCGGCGTTACTCCGCCTTTCTTAGTACCAAACTTTAATAAAAAGCGGGCAGTGGTCGAGGGGGGGTGGGATGTGAGGAGGAGCTGCTGCAGCGCGGATGAAAATGCATAAATGCATAAAAAATTGGCCAGCTTACAAGCAGCTTTACATATGCAATGCGGGCTTGCCATAAGTGTGTGTATGTTTGCCTGTGTGTGTGTCAACATTGTTGCAAGCAGCCATTTTTCCGACACGTGTTTGCTTTCCCCCAACTTCCGTTTCCTGGCCATTGATGTGACTCTCGGTGGGTCGAAGAGAACTCCAGCAGAATTGCAGATTTCAGATCGGGTCTTTAAAGAGCCTTTTGAAAATGCAATTAATATTTGCAAAATCTACAAGCTGCCGCCTCGCCTCTCACCCTTTGGAAGCTCCAAACTAGGTAAAACTAACCAAATCACCGGTACAGGACTTGTATTTTATGTCTATACCCTTTTTGGAGGGTATGTTTATGATGACTAAAACTTGTGAGTCCTAAAACATATGGGAAATTATAGCAAATTTGGGCTTCCAGGAATAATCCAAAAATTCAAATGGTTTTCAACAAAAATTATTAAGAGTTCAAATATTTTAGAGCTGATTAAATACATATATAAAAGTGATTAAATTAATATCTCATATTTAAACACAACTTAACGAATTTTAACCCATTTTAGAACATAGAATAAATGTAAATAACTTGAAAATTTGCGATAGAGTGCTCTTAATTGTGACTGCAGTTTAGTAAATATTTCAAGACTTTAAGCTTTTCAACTGCATACTATTCATATATCCTTAATATATTCTTCATATTTCCATAACTCCATTGCAAGGGTATTACATGCTTCGGTAATCGAATCAAGAGTTTTTCCTCTTATTGTGAGATAGAAATGCAAAACTCTGTTGAAATATTTTCACCACGTCGAAGAGTATGCAGAGAAATGTACGCTGCCACCTGACAGCATACATATGCAGGAGATTGTACCCCCGTGTGTGTGTGTGTGAGAGCTTGCTCGTTTGTGTTTGTATGGGTTGGCCATGCATTTCCGGTTTTAATGATTATAACACAATCAAGTGCATATTGCCTAATTAGCGATACCCAGCAGCAAGCAACGTCCAAGCCGCATAAAGTGCATAAAATATTTCCCGCACACTCACACTGCGGCCGCTGCACCGCGGTGCACCGTATGTGTGTGTGTGTGATGGCTACCGTGTGTGTGTGTGTGTGTGAAAGCCCGCGCATATTTTATGTCGCTTATTGGAAGGCATGTCACTACACTGGAAATAAATTTACATACTTGATTGTAATATGCTGAGAGCAACCTAGCTTCTCGAAACTAAAACCTATTTATTATATGTTTGTTAAATTATTTTAATTATTAACAATGCTCGATCGAAATTGAATTAATTAATATCTATAGATATAGATATTTATTTATGATATATTTCCTTGTATATATTTTTTCAGTGTAATTCCTCTATCGTATATTTCCCATACGTTATGGTTAAAAATTTCGTTGTTCATACGAAATTCGTTTGGTGTGTGCATGTGCGAAAATATTGCGTGTAATTGTGTAGTCGGCTACCCGTTTTATTTGATAGTTTTCCACCAAAGCCCCCCACCTATTCATTAGGACTGGCCAACAACGCTTTAGCTATTGGTAGTAACAACGAAGCCAAATTTTATTTCATTCTCCCCGCTTGTCTGACACTTGATGTGGGTACGAATAATTCAGTTATACGCGGCTCTGCTCAGTTTTCCACCCAGAAAGCCATAAACAAAAAGCAACAAACTAAATATTGCCAGAAAGTGTGCTGGTGGAATACAAAAAAAAAAACCAAAGCTGGATCGTTAGTAAATAATTGCAGTGAATCCGTACAGGGAAACCCTAACAAACTGGAAATAGAGCAAGGCGAGTTTATGAAATAAATTCATTTAGAACCTAACTGTTAAATAAATGTTTTTATAAATGATTACTTTCCTTGAGATAAAATACTAAATATATGTGAAATCGAGAAATAAAACTGGCTTTAAGGGATTAATCCACAGTTTTTAAGGCTGTGATTGAATTAATTTGTTGACCCAGACTACTGTCCCAAATAGAGAGAATTTTAAAGTAAAATAAAACCTTTTAAACGCTTTTTGAATGTTAGATTAATATTTTAAAATGTATTCAAATTATTAACTTGTAAAGCTTGTGCAAAGTTCTGACAATATTATGATTCGTTTCGCTTTAGTTTGTAAGGCTTTTTCTTGGTCAGGATTACTTTTAGGATAGAATGTAGATAGGCAAAAAGGGTTTATCATAATTTAAACTAGACTGAGAGAAGAACTTGCAATAGAAAAGTATTTTCTAGAGTTCGACACTCGGGTTACCATTAATAAATCCTTAGTAAGAAATCAAATTACACCGCTGTTAGTAAAATATGCAATTCAGTTTTCTTGTTACTTCCAAGTTATAAAAGTTATAGATATTAATTTAATTGATCTCAAAACAGATAGTCAAAATCTCTATATACTCTATTTGTAATCATTTTGCTAGTGATAGCTTTAATCTCGTTAATATGGTTTTGTGCTGTTTTTAATTGCTTTAATAATAACGATAATTATCGTTGTTAGCACAAAGGAAATGTTATGTTAAATTTCCCTTTGTTGTCAAGAACTTGTGAAAGTAATTTTGCTTTTTTTTTTGCACCGTATTTCCATAATTCCATTTTATTCTGCGTGGCTCTAATCCTGGTCGTTTTATCTGCTCGGTTCGGTTTGCTATGTTGTTGTTATTTTCATGTTGCGGCTGCTCTCTGCAGGCCACTTTTAATTGCAATAATTAAATGTCAAATTAAATCCTAAATTCCGTGGTTTAATTAATTCAATTGGCGTGACAGTCAAAGTGAAATTCCGAATAAAACACCGCAGCTGCAGCTCTTCCATAAATGCCAATGCCAGGCTCCGCAAAATGCTGTGATTGTCCTATCCGTCCGACAGTAGGTCCTTTTCCTACCCACATATATATCTATATATATATAGAGATATTTATTTTTTTGGCCATTTAATGAGCCGCGCTTGACTGCAATCTACCAAAGGGGGAGAAAGGAGTAAATGGAATGCAAGGACCCAGTGGCTTCCAGGCTCTAGGCAGTAAGTTCCCAGTAAGGAGCCAGGACCGGCGCAATTTGCGTTAAGCGTTCTGTGAAAAATGAAGTACCAAATTGAAGTTGGCATCCAGCGTCTCCAGTTGTGTCTTGCACTTATTTATTTATTTAGTTTTCTGTCGTTTTCCCCTGCTTACATACGCTGCTGGGCACTATGTCTCGGCATCTCGGGGACACTGTCTTTGGGGGAAAGTGGAAACTTGGGTGCTTGGGAACTTCACTCTCGTCTCGAGGGCGAATCGCGAACGCGTCAACTGTCGGCACTAACGGGTTAAGAGCTGCAGGCTGGCGCGTCCATCAGCGTTGCGCACTAAAACCATACTAAACTAATTTGCTTAGCAGCACGCACTGATTACACAAAGTCCTCGCCGCCTTGCCTTTCGGCAGCCGAGGGCCGAGTGCCCTTCGGCTTGGAGTTCGTGGAGTTCGGCAAGGATTCGCCGAACAGCCGAACGCGCACGAAGCCCGAAGGCAAAGAGAGAGCGAGAGCTGGGTCCTGAAAGAGCGCAACAGGAGTCTGGCTCTGTTAACCAAGTTAACAGTGCCTGGCTGCGAGTTAAGAAATCAGAGGGTTAGGTAAACAAGTCAAACTAATAGCTTCGTATCGGAACTAGCATCTGACCCCGAAACCAGAATCTGATCAGCCGCAGTTCGTGTGATTTATCGATTTACTAATTTATCGATTTATATGCACAAATTGAACCGAAATTCCAAGCCGACAAGCCGGTCATTTGCCATCTCTAAATCACTGAAAATGCCCCAGACACAGCCACACACACACACGCCGAACTCGGTTCTCATCAATGCAAAAATCAAACATTATTTATGCAAATTACAAACCATTATTATTAAAGCCAACAGCAACCACAAAGGCTGTAATAGTTGAAAGTGGAGCGCGGAGGGGGAGAAAGGGAAGCCGGACAACCGGGAGCAGCAACCAACAATCATATCCGTCATAGTCAAGGGGCTCAGCGGAGGGGGAGCTGCCAATGCTTTGGGGAACCAATTTGGCAGCCGGCATAAATACATTTTTACTTAATGTAGGTCAGTAATGCGGACTGTCGTCTCTTTTTGCTGCTCTTCTCTTTTGCCCAGCGTTGCTCTTGAATATTCGCTCTCTCTCTTAAGCCGCGACGCCATGAAGTATGCTACTAAAGTTGCTTCTTTTGCCAGCGTCTCTGTGTGCGTCGTCCTCGGCTGCGTCGGTGTGTTAGTGTGTGTGTGTGGGTGTCCGGATAATGCCATCAAACCTCAAAGGACCGGCAATGCTTGCATAATGCAAACAGCCAATGATATCGCCATGAATCGTTGAGTAATTCAACCAGGATTTTATTATTAATTCAGTTCCTGTAACGACTAGCATTCAGCCAAGAAATCGCTGTTTTCATGAAAATCGAAATTGATTTATCAAGGCAGAATTTGGTTTATAAATAAAGTTAGATGAATTTTTAGTTTAATTTATTATTATCAACTAATATAATATAAATTAATAATTATGAAAGAAAGATTAGTTTGCTAGAATTTTTTTTTCTGACTACAGATAGTTCACTACTTTATATTTATTTACAAATCAGTATCAATTAAAATATTAAGAAAATTTCAATTGAATATCGAAGAATTTGTATGTGATTTTTTTAACAACTCAAATTTAAAAACTCATAACTAAGTCAAAAAGGCATTAATTTTAATTTGGAAAGCGCTCCTATGTCAGATTTAAGTAGGTTAATAAATCAGCGCACTCAAGTTAAAATTTCAAAATATTAGAATTTTATTCAATTTTTGAAAATTTTAATGATGTAACCCCTTAATAAGTTTTTAAAATTTTGAAAAAAAAATAAATTTAACTCAAACGTGCTTAGATCGATTCGCCTGCTTATTCTGATCATGATATATATGATTTATAGGGTCGGAAATGACTCATTCACTGCTTCTGACTAAAATTATAATACCCTCCAAAAAAGAGTTCCTAAATGCATATCAATATTAAAGGTCATCTGTCAAGGTATCTAAACTCTCTTGAACCTTAACAAAATATATATTGATATCAAATTGATTTAAATTCCTTAATTTAGTTGGTTGTCCTCTTGATCGTTAACAATTTCCTTGAACAGGACCACCAATCAGGCAACCACTAGATCGAAAATACAGGAGAGAGCGGTTGAAGGACATACATACATCAACAATCCGGCTGGTGCTGCATTTGCCTTGCGGCTAGACATAAATAAAGAAAAACCCGAAGCCAGCTTAGCACCCAAGCTCACTCTGTGTCCATGGATTTTTGAATAACTTCCCCCACAATTCGGGCCAACCTCGAAGCCATTCACCAATGGCTCCTTGTAACGCATCCTGCAACGCAAGTTGGGCCAAAATTTATGTACAAACTCACTTAGGCAAGAATGTTTATGCGTTTCGTACGTGTTGGTTGCTGTCGCTCATGTGGAGAGGATCCTGGAAGAAGAAGCTCCAACCTTCCTAGTCCCATACACACACTCACACAGACCCACTCGTTTATTTTGTCATTTTCTACGCATTTTTTTGGGAAACATTTTTGAATGCCATTCTGTATGGCGTCCCTTGGGGAGCATGAAGACCAGAGGGAATTGCGTTCTCACGAACTCTGCAAAGTGTAATGAAATTTTTCCTCACTAATGACTTAAATGCACAGGAATTTATACAGCATTTGAGCTAATTGCCATTGCATTTGATACAATTTAAGTGTCAGGACGAAAGCCGAAACGTGTTGCTGGAAAACATTCACATACCTACGAGCAGCACTAACTAGTTCAATTCGAGACACAAATTATCCTGGCAAAGGGTTTTAAATTGCCTTAATTTAAATTTAAATTCGGGAAGCCAAAACAGAAATTGAATTGATTTCTTTGACACCAAAACTTGCCTGTATCGTTAGCATTTTGCAGTCTTAACGCAGTATTTGAAAATATTTGCTCTTATTCGAGAGTCTTTAAATTCCGTGAATGCCAGGGAAAGCTGAGCGAAAGGCTGCAGAGTTGGGGAGGTGCCAAAGTGAAATGTGTCACGTGCTGACAATTTCCCAGTTTCCTTTTTCCAGCCAGTCTGCCGATCGCTTCAACTGCCAGCTGTCTCAGTCTCTGGAGCGGCATGAGGGCCAATTATCTGGCACCTTGAGCAGCGGTTCTGTTTCAGCTATTTACATATAATTAGCGCCCAACTGGCAGGCCGCAGCCTCGGCATTCGCCGTTCTGTCGTTCTTTGAGTATTTGCACCACGCAATTTTAAGAATTTCTTTGCAGTTTTCCACTTCCCGTGCTCCCCCACTCCTACTTTTTCGCCTTCAGTTATCTACCCTCAGTTCGCGCTTTTCGTCTTGGCCAAGTTTGACAATGAAGTTGCAATGATGACGATGCCAAAAAAATAGGAGCAAGCGAAAAGAAATAAGAAATCTGTTATAGAAACCACGACCATAAAATACCCACTGACTTAAGGCGAAAGATGCAATACAAGGGGTTAGAAAAATATATTTTCCAGTTTAAGTATTTTGATAATAAACTTTGGAATGTTATAAATTAATTGTAGCTTTAGAATGTTAGACAAGTATTTAGTTTCTTGTATGGAAAGGTTTATTTTAACTTTATTGTCCTAAAGAGTCAGGGTTTTTTTTTTGATTTGTGGACATTAAATGCTTAATGCTTAATTATTCTTAAACTGAATACAAATCATTTAAGCTCTCTTTACCTTTCAATATTAATAAAATATAGATAAATATATAAATCTACACAAAATAGAACCCTGATTTCAATATCCCCTTGAACTATTTTACTACCGTGTATAGAAAACGGTTTGAGATTCTGGTTGGCATACTAAAAAGTTTTGCCCGGGTGGAGCAGGCTTCGGTTGCCAGCGAGGCGCCAACTTAATAAGGACACCAAGGCTCTCGGTGGGTGGCATGGCAGAATGCAAAGCATCGGGCTGAATAGAGGCATTCAAAGTGCCATACAAAGGAAAACGGAGTCCCGCTTTAAGGCAACACTTTCGGCAAAGCTGGCGACTTGGAGCGCGAAATATTCCGTTTGATTCACAGAGCGTTGCTAGAGTCCGGCGGGTAAACAAAAGTCTCACTCCCGATGGGCCCAGGCACTCGGCATCCGTCAATTCTGGAACCCTTTTGGCAGTCGGACAGACAGACAGATAGACAGAGTCGCTGGGCTTCGTTTGTCCGATCAGCTGTAAGTGAAACCCACCCGGCGTATGAGTGATGGGGCTCATTTCCGAGCCCTAGTAAGGCTCGTTCGTTTTTCACTTCTGATTCGCCATTTTCAGACCCAGCCATAATTAGCCAGTCAGCTGTGGTAGTCATTTTCATTAGCAGGCATCCACGGCCATAACAACATCAGCATTATGCCACCCATCGAGTGGATCCTTGTGGGGTTAGTGCCCACCTGTCTATGGTTGATATAGCTCCCTGCTGACTCGGATACTTCTGACTCAGCTGCTGTTTTTGGCGCTCGGTTGCAGTTGAGAACGCATTATGTGGTGTCTAAACCCATGCAAAGGCCCAGGACATAGGCTAGCATCGCGAAATTCGATGAAGTCTGATATTGGAAATGAAACAAAAAGGTAGAAGCCTCCGGGTTTCAGCACCAATGCTTCTAATTACTAGGTTTTACATTATCTGCAGCTTAGGTGACTGCTTTATAAAATAGGTTAATTAAGGAGAAAGTACTTTAGCATCACTTTAGCAATGCAGAAAATAAATAAATTCTAGATAAGGTCAAATACACTTGAAACTGAAAAATCCTGCGAGATAAATAATAGAAGTTTATATCGGATGGCAGCTGTAAATGGAATTAAAATATACAATACCAAGTTACTTTTGTTTATTTTTGCAATGTCGAGTTAGTATCCTTTAATTCTATATATAGAATAGACCTAAAAAATAATGAATACTACATTTTTTATATGTGGTGCTCGTTGATATCCGCAGGCTTAAATAACTTTTCATATTTTTTTGTGGGGTGTGGATGACAAATCGAATTTCACGCCACACCGCTTAGCAATTGCATCCATCGCCGACTCTAAGTGCTCGTATTTATATACCCTCCCCATTCTAGTTTTTCGATGAAATACAAATATTTGCGTTATGTCATTTAATGTAGTCGTACGTCCATATATCAACATTCACAGATCTGCGCCAGAATATCCCCTTGTGCTCGGTTTCACAGCTTTATCACCTCGCACATGGCTGGCAGTTTATATTTATATATTTTGTCATATGTGAGTGTCAATTAGTGCATTAAGCCGTAAAGCGAAATAAGCTTATACACACTCGTAGCAAAAATAAACCGGCAATCACCAGGTTAATTTGTAGGAGAGATTGTGAGATTGTTTAAATGAAAGACAATTAAGGACATATAAGCTTCATCAGATAAAATATCTGCATTAAGTTTCCCTTTAATTTACACGGAAAAACACGTTTCGGAAACAATGGAAAATAATCAACACATTATACAACTTTCCTCCTTTCTTTCCAATACAATACTAAAGCTTCTCTTCTCATCCCAGCCTCAAAATGTCTCGTCGTTAGGAAAATATGTTTTTGTTTTCCACCCCCTTGTTTATGTTTATTTTACGATTAAGCCTGAACAGATTTGTTGACGCCATCAGACGCCGCCTTCTTCACACACAAACCCTCCGAAATCACCGACAATAAATGAAAATTAATTGTAATGACATCGGTAAGATTTCATTTATTACGAAACCCTCATAATAGCCACATAAAAGGCATGGAAGCACTTGTAACGAGAAATTTGACGAGTTTCTGGCGAAAATCGATCAATCAATCAATGCATTTCTATTGCCAGGTTAATGTGTTTGAATTCCATAAAAGTAATACTGGTAAAATCATTCAAATGCCATCGGGGAAAATTATATATTTTTTGCGAGCACAGCTTTTGGATACTAACAGAGTGCGAAAAAAAGGTGTGTGTGTGTTGGCCCATAAAAATAATAAAAAGTAAGATTATATTGCCACTATTTCGATCAAGTTTTTTTTTAAAATGGAAGCAATTAAATGGAAACTCACGCCTGGCGGGGCTATATACTATCTGGAAAAATGCCTGCTCAACAAACGCATTCCGTAAAAATCCAAATAGTAAAAATGAGCCGATAAACGTGTACAAAATGTCTGTCTACATGCGGAACGTGCTGTCAATAAGAGATTTGCATCGACTTCTAAAGGATGCCAGAAGGGTTGCGAACGGAATGGAAATAAGGAGCCGTTTTTTGTTATAGCATTTTGCAAGCATTTACTGAACGTGATTTGAGTTATTTATCGAGCATACATGTGCCCATGCCCAACACCATCTTTATAGAATTTTTTGTATAATTTATTACAAAGGTGAGGAACATCCTTTGAGATGGGATTGGATTTCTAGCATCTGCCTACATATGGAGTCTTTTATTGTAACATAAAGTAAAACCTATCAAATAATTAAAGTTACCACATGCAATTAATGTCAATTTTCTTATTTCAATTGATTTGTGTTTTTGTCAGTTATAATTTTTGTTGAGCAGTATACTTTGTCTCACATCTCAAGTAATAATTCAATCGTCAAGACAATATATTGTGGAAACAACTAGAAGTGTGATTCGGTCTGTGGTGAATAGTTTTAAACTACTGATTCCTCGGCAGACAATAGCTACTTCTGAAGATTTATATAAGGTAATTATATCAAGTTGATTTTAAACGAATGGAATTATATCAGTAGCTTTTACACTCTCGGTTAGTCTTTAAGTAAACATCCATGGGAACATTTGGTCCTTTCGCCGCCACCCCCACGGCGAATATCGACACATTGATTGAAGCCTCGACATTTGCAATTGCTGTGCATTTTATTGACTTCCACTCGCACAGCTCCTTCCCAATCCCCAGTTCTGTAAAGTCCTGCCATCCTTCCATCAATGTTAATTGCACCAGAGCCATCTCTCTGTGTGAGTGTGGGTGCGATTTAAATTGCCCTCGAAAATTGTTGTGCCCGAAATCATTCAATGCAAAAATTTACTGCAATTGAATCAACACCCACAGACTATTTTTCACTGCTGCTTTTGTTGGTCCTGCTGCTTCTGCTGATCCTTTTTCATTTAATGGTAGGCAAAAGTCAAATTGAATTCCATTCGGCTATTTCCATTCCCCCACACCCAGGCTCCAAAATAGGTCCCCGGCACTCAGCCATCCATCAATTCGAGCTGACCCGCCAGTTTCTGGAATTGCCAGCCTTCAATTAGCTCCATAAAGTTCAAGTTTCATTTTCAATTTATGCATTTTTATATTGCGCCAGCAACAAAAACTAGCGAAAAATACTATATACATATATAAAAATGACGATTCGGCGAAAGCGAGCTGGAGGGCCGCAGAAAATTATTCATAATCGCTGGAATAGCTTCCGAGTTGCCAACTGTTTGGCAGCCAGCCAATGGATTATTGAATAGGAAGAACACTGAAAAGGCTTAGGCGCTGGAGACTATAGAGGAGCTGGGACTTGTTGCCAGTTGTCTGATGTCCGACTGTTTACACTAGGGGAAATTTCAAGGGGGAAATCTATTATAAATTCCGAGCTATATAATATTTTTCGTTCATAAAATGGGACTTGTCCTGCAACGAATATTGGTATCAGTCTGTAAAGAAGGGCAGAGTTTTAGCAGTGAAATTTCCAGGTTATGTTATAGATTTTGTATTAATATTATATTATATTTGCTAGATACAATGTTTTTACCATTTTAAATATTCTCTTTATTTTATTTCATTACCTCCTCTGGTAAATATCTTTGTTTCGAGGTATAATAATTATGTATTAATATTTCCCACACTGAAGTTTTCCTTACTCAAATGTCTTGCAGTATTTTAAGCCTCATTCCCCAGAGCCTGTTGCCTTGGGCTTTCTCCTCCCACAATTCCCTCTCAGGGGTAAACAATACTGAAAAGCTTCAGTGTACTTCATAATTATCAGCCTCGCTGGCAGAGAATGGCATTTCATGCCTGCCTCCATCTCCGGCAAAAGAAAAGAATGCATTGCCAAGGCGAGGCGAGAAAGAAGTGGAAGAGGCGGCAACAATTGCAATTGTTTCAATTATGTCTGACAACTTCTCGACTTCATACGCCCGTTCCGAGCACATTGCCTTAAAGCACCAGCAGCACACACAGAGAGGCGAGCACATCCTGCACTCGTGCAATTCTCACAATTATGTCAGGATGGAAGGACTCCCGGGCGGAGCGCAACCAACCACTAGGTGCAGGAGGCCGGGCTGAGCCTGGACGAGTTAATGCCTGGCGCTTCTCCTCTTTGTTTCGCACCCGGCATGATGGCACACAGACCTTGTTTATTGTGTCTCCGAATATAACTTGTGTATTTGCGTATTATAATTTGCATAAATTTCTTATGCCAGCCCAGAGTCAGCCAGAAGCTGTCGAAAGAAGTGGCAAAGGCGGCGGGGCGAAAAGGGCAAACGGTGGCTCGCAAAACAATTTAATAACGAGCAGATACAAGTGACAAAATGAATTATGTTGTTATTGTCCCTGCACACACACACACACACACAATGGCATGCGACTTGTACTGAGGATACAATTGCAAAGAGATTTTTTATCTGCATAAAGTTGGGGGAAGGGGAAGTACTTGGTGGTTGTATGTGGGTTTTTTTTTGCGAAAGAATAACGCAAGGAGAGTATTTACTTCAGAGTTGATGGTTGGTTAGTGGTTTAAGTTTACTTATTACTTAATTTATTTATTTACCCTTCAAAGTAGTGTAGATTCCAGTAAGAGTTAATAAGTAGATTCTTAATCTAATGCCGGCATAGAATTCATTCAACGAAAGACCTTCTTTGAATTTCAATACCTCTTTATCTTTAATTTAATAATTCTGTGAATCCATTTCTTATAATTTAATGTTATTTATTGATTAATTTATACCTCTCATTTTAATTCCCTTTGCTCATGCTTTAAAACCTAATTCCTTACCTAGCTGAAAAGTATGCAACACATTTCTCTTGAAACATGCATTACGTATACGCCCCGTGGCAAGGGAACCTCGATGATGCTTGCAATTGTGCAAAAATTGAAGGGTTGCAAGGCGAATAGTAGGAATAGGGTTTCGCTATTGAGTGCACTTTTTATCATCATAACCCCCAACACACACACACACGCACACATACACACAGCCACATATGGATATCGTATCCCTTTAGCTCTTTGGCTCTCCGGTTGCCCACTTCGTGGCTGTCGCTGACGGATATGTTAAAGCTTCGATTATTCCATCGCCTCAATGGGAGGATGGGGAGTGGCGTATGTGCATGTATGTGGCAAAGAGGAGGGCAACCAGGCAGACAACAAATTGTTAGACGCTACAATGAACACTGATGCGATTGATTGAAAGTCACTGGGAAAGATAAAATGCCATTGGTTTATGCTGTCATCTGGCAGTAGGGAATCCCGTTGGCCATGCCGGCATCGCACGGCACTTGGTTAGGCATCGCATCGCATCCCTCTGTCGTGTCAACAAGTTGGGGACAAACAATTTAAATTACAAAGCAAACTCAATAAAAATGTTAAAAACTTTTGGCCATGAAGAAGACATTCTGGCTGATCCGAGATTTGTTTAGTTCCGAGGTCCTTGACATGCATAAGTTATGGCCCCGCTTCAAGGGGCCTGCCGATATGGCAGGAGGAAGCAAAAGTTTTATAAGAAAAACAAATCGCATCGCTTATTTATAAGCCCGTAAACAGATTTTATGAGCCTGCCCAAACAATGTCGGCCAGGAAGGAGCAAAAGTTGCAATCGTCCGACGGGTGGTGGCCCTATCGATTTTGGACGACGACCAGGACACGAGGGCCACTGTCTTATCCCTTCCGTCGGTTTTCAATTTATTAAAATGACCGTCAAAAATCGTTTGTGTGCGAAAGTTTGCGCTTAACCTAAAACACTTTTTGGACAGTTCCCACTTCGTTTTCTCCCCCCTCAATAGTCTTTTTTTGCCATTTGGCGGCAAGCGATGACTGGGTTAAGACGAAACTTTTCGCCCGGACAAAAGTTTCGGGGATGTGTCTTGCCGGGCTTATGATTGCCTCGCAACGCACTGCATTTCGGAGTCCGAACTTGTTTTTCATTCGCCCAGACAGCATAATTTTTGATTGGGTAACTTTTCCCCCCATCCTGTAGCTTGCCTGCCTTTCTGCCGAAGGGAATAAAGTGTAAAGTTGAAATCCTGAATTCCGCTCTCCAGTTCATTTCTTATGCCGAAAGCCGTCACACACGCGAGGCTTTAGCCAGCCTGCGAGTGTGACCTTTTCCACCTGACCTCCCCTCGAATTCACCGAACTATAAATACCAAGCACGGCCCGGATCGAGCGACCTAACCTAAATACCGGAAATGCCCTTTATAATGCGCTTCCGGCACATGTGAGCGGGCCCAGACAGCGGGCGGTGTGGAGTGGCTCTTGGCGTTGGGTGCTCCGCGTGTCTCGCAGCGTGGCAATTGTTAAAGACCCCCCTTCGCAAAAGCCAAACCATAGCCGAGCCTCTGGCTAATCAAAATGTTCAGCCAGCTGCAAAAAGCCACGAGTGCGCAGGAGGGGGTTATATGCTGACCATGTTTATAGCCATAAACTGCAGGCATCCTTTATGGGGCTGATCTGGAAATTCCGCGATTCGTGTGGTGAGTACAGAGACCCATGTAGGTGACGAAAAGCACTAAAGGTTTCGCTTTGTATATAATTGCTATGAAGGAATAATTTAAGAGGACCATAGCTCACTATTTACGTATATATAATTTATTATTATCATAGTAATATGTAGACTTTCAATTATTAATACTTTAGTATTATTTAAATTTAAATCTGAAGCCGCATAATTAATACCCATTTCTTAATAATTATCCATTGTAACTTTTCTTTTACTACAAGCACCTTTTAAAGCCATATCTATAAATAATAATTTACCCTTTTTTTCTAACCAATCAACTAATCAACCTTCTGAGAAAATCCGCTTACAATTTCCCTTTCAACTTTTGGCAAGATTTTGGCTGGCACTTTAAGTAAACAAAGCCGGTCGGCCGCCGCACGTATTTTTAATTAAACTTTGTGCCATGCCATTAACCCCTTTATGCTTAGGCTCGGTGCCCCTTTCCGATTTTGCCCCTTTTCCCCGTCCCTTTTCCCGTTTTCCTGTTGCGTGCCAAGTTTTTGCGGTTAATTATCGATGAGAAAGGGGGAAAACCGCGCCTGGGAACGTCCTTGGACGTCGGGATCCTGTTGAAAGCCAAGTCAAGAAGTTAAATGAAGTGCAAAGCCTTTTTGGTTGAACATTGTTGAGGGAGTTTCACAAAAGACGAGCGTCAATTGGTTAATAAGCGGCCAGCTGCTCCATCACAATTGTGCCCTGACTTATTGTCCCATTACTCCCATTGAAGGCAGCTTCAATATAATTATCACCAAAGTGCGGCTGGAACTTGAACTGATTTATATTTGTCTGTGTCATATAATGTTATATGTTTGTTGGGAATGAAACAAATGATTACCGTTTGCCTAATTTATTGGATTTCTTTGCGAGCCTCGCACGCAAACAGCCGGACTGTGGCCTCTTCCTTAACCCTCGTCCTTGCCCTCGTCCTGTCCTTTTGCCGGGTCATTTATTAATTGCGCCCCGTATGCGTGTGCTAATCTCTTCATTATGCGATTTCATAATGGATTACATTCAAATAAATGCGCCTCATTTGCCATCTCCAGTCAGCTGCTAATTTTCTTTAATTTCGTTGCCATTTCCCTAATGATGCGTGGACGCTCCCTTAGTCCTTAGTCCTTAGTCGATCCTTAACCGGAGGCCTTCTTCCCCAAAAATGGCCCCCAATGCCGCGTTAATAGGTCAGCGTTCTGTTGTAATATTAATGCCGGCTCATTTTCGATGCCTCTTGTAATTGAATCAGATGCATCAGTTTGGGCGGATTATTGTATTAATGCCAAGACGATAGGGTTTCCTATCAATCATTCTAGTCGTGGTTCATGAAATGAGAGAAAGCTGAGACTAGTTTAAGCACCTGAAAATGTATATCCTTATAATTCTATGAAAATATTCTCAAGCTAACAAGCATTAAGTAATTCCAAGATGGTCGTGTCTTGAAATTATTGGCCAGCGTCATCTGCTGTCACAGGTTGGCAGCAAATTTGCACTCAACTCCAAGCTCAGCCAAAGACTGTCGTGACACTTTTCCAGGTAATTAAAACACAAATATTAGCAAAACGGGGGCGGGAGGGCGAGTGCTTTTGCTAACGCCCACCCATTTGAGCCCATTTTGCAATTTAAATTTTCATGAACAAGCGCCGCCATTTGTCGACGTCCTCGATGTCCTCGATGTCTAGTGTCCTGGTCGCCTCGCCTTACGTTGCCTTAACAGTTTTCAATTTGCCCGCGCGCTTGTAAGCGCAGCTGACAGCGACTAGCGAACGATACCCCGGCGAAGAGCTTATGTTTCTCGGGAGTAAAGGCATTGGAGAGCGGGGAAAATGCAGGGAAAAGCGGGGAAAACTGCGGGAACCAGCGGCTCCGAAAGGGGTGGAAAAAGCCATTCCACTTTGGCTTTTATTGTATTTCGGTCGCTGTCGTCGCACATTTTTACGACTATTTAAATGGTTTTCACTTTTCGGTTACAAATTGTCGCCCAGGTAAAATGGTCGTGGGATTGGGATTGGAATTGGGGGTTTAGTTCCACCGGGAAGTTTGCTTTGTCTCCGATTGCTGATTTCGATTTGCCAAAGGGCTAGAAGCGGTCGCTTTGAGTATATATCTCCCCTTCCTTTGATTTTGGATTTCAACCTGAAAGTAAAATTGGTGTAAATGGAACATCAAAGAAACAATAAAGGATTTAATTTTGCACTGATACTCATTTGACTTCTCTGTAAATGGATAAAATATTACTATAATAGTAAAAGGTTGTTCTATCAAGCATTTTATGGTTCATTTTGAATCCATTTTAATATCTTGAGGCCACAAGGTTGGAATACTCCAAAAGTAGCAATACAAAATGGAGAAAACATAACATAATCTTTATATTGCTTCAAATATTTTTTATATGAATGCTATTTAACATTTTTTTAACATTTTAAAATATTTATATATAGTCTTTTTTAAATATAACTCTTTTGCCTAACTAATTCAAACTTACCTTCTCCCCTTTCCAAGAACAGAGTAGGCTTAGGTTAATACGTTCAAGGCTAAGACTTCAAAACCTTCCGACTCTCTGGGACTTTTCTCAGTTTACATTTGAATTTCAGAGCTCCAATAGATCTTACGTATTTCTTTTTTCTAAAAATATATTTACTGGTAAGTAGGCAATCAAGCAAATACAACCCTAAATTCTAATCTTCCTCCCGTAGATCATCATGATTCGCATGATTCTTTCCAAAAACTACACATCCAATCTGAGGCGTTCTGCCCGGATTAGCAGCCATTTATGGCAGGCTCGCTCCTATGCCAAGGATGTAAAATTCGGGCCCGAGGTCCGAGCTATGATGCTCCAGGGCGTGGATGTCCTGGCCGATGCCGTGGCCGTCACCATGGGTCCCAAGGGCCGTAATGTGATCATCGAACAGAGTTGGGGCTCGCCAAAGATTACCAAGGATGGTGTGACTGTGGCCAAGTCGATTGCTCTGAAGGACAAATTTCAAAATATCGGAGCCAAGTTGGTGCAGGATGTGGCCAACAACACGAATGAGGAAGCTGGCGACGGCACCACCACGGCCACTGTCCTGGCACGTGCCATCGCCAAGGAGGGCTTCGAGAAGATCTCCCGCGGTGCCAATCCCGTGGAGATCCGACGAGGTGTTATGCTGGCCATCGAGACGGTCAAGGAAAATCTGCGTAAAATGTCACGACCCGTCAGCACGCCAGAGGAGATCCATCAGGTGGCCTCCATATCGGCGAACGGGGACAAGTCCGTTGGTAACCTGATCAGTGAGGCCATCGAGAAGGTGGGCCGTGATGGTGTAATCACCGTCAAGGACGGCAAGACGCTCAACGACGAGCTGGAGGTCATTGAGGGCATGAAATTCGATCGCGGCTACATCTCTCCTTACTTCATCAATGTGGCCAAGGGGGCCAAGGTTGAGTTCCAGGACGCCCTGCTGCTCTTCTCCCAAAAGAAGATCAAGTCGGCGACGAGCATCGTGCCCGCCTTGGAACTGGCCAATGCCCAGCGGAAACCGTTGGTCATCATTGCCGAGGATGTGGAGGGTGAAGCACTCAGTACCATGGTGGTGAATCGCTGAAGGTTGGCCTGCAAGTGTGCGCCGTGAAGGCACCCGGATTGGGATAATCGTAACGATACCCTGTCGGACATGGCCATAGCCACGGTGGCATTGTTTTCGGGGATGAGGCTAACCTAGTGCGGCTGGAGGATATCAAATTGAGCGACTTTGGCCGCGTGGGCGAAGTGTGATCACCAAGGATGACACAATGCTGCTCAATGGCAGCGGCCAGAAGGAAGATGTAAACAAGCGCGTGGAGCACCTACGGGATTGTATCAAGGAGTCCACGAATAACTACGAAAAGGAGAAGATGCAGGAGCGCCTGGCACGGCTCTCCTCGGCGTGGCCTTGCTCCGTGTGGGCGGCTCCAGTGATGTGGAGGTCAGTGAGAAAAAGGACCGAGTCAATGATGCCCTTAATGCCACCCGGCGGCCGTGGAGGAGGGCATCGTGCCCGGTGGTGGCACCGCTCTGCTCCGTTGCATCCAGAAGCTGAACGATATTCGAGGCACCAACGAGGATCAGAACATGGGCATTGAGATCATAAGCGAGCCCTGCGCATGCCCTGTCTACCATAGCCAAGAATGCAGGAGTTGATGGGGCCATGGTGGTGGCCAAGGTGGAGATCCTGGACGGTGACTATGGTTACGATGCACTGAAGGGTGAATTCGGCAACATGATCGAGCGCGGCATCATCGATCCCACCAAGGTGGTGCGCACTGCCATCACTGATGCCGCCGGTGTTGCCTCACTCCTGACCACCGCCGAGGCTGTGGTCACCGAGATGCCACTGGAAGATGCTGCGCGCAGGAGCAGCTCTTGGCGGCCTGGGCGGTATGGGAGGAATGGGCGGAATGGGTGGGCTTGGCATGTAGGTCGTCAGCCTGCCATTTCTGCAATTCCCTCATTTATTTTTAACACGATAACTTCAGAGAAAAAATTCAAAAAAAGGGACCACACTAGGCTACTGTAGCACCGTCCGAAATCATCTTTTTGTCATGTCTATTTGTAAATTGAAAATTCAGAGTTTACAGGGTTACATACATGTACATGTGTTTAAATCAAGTGCTATTTTCAAAGCCTTGAACTTGAAATAATAAGATTCAAAACAAAAGCGTTTAATCCTTTACAATATGGAGCTTGATTTAATATTGTGCCATTTCCTCAGAAATTAGCCCCCATGTCCGGTGGAACAATGCTGGTGACGGTCTCGACATGACTTGTTGTTAATGTTTCCTCTCCCTTGACTGTCGTTATTCCTGTTGCAGTTTCAGTTTTTGTATCCCCCTCTGGCAGAATGTGCTCCTTTACACATGTCCTTTTGCTGTGTTTTGTCACAGTTCCACTATTTGCTGGCTTGCTAACCACTTGTAGTAGTTTTTACAACGATCCCCTCCGTCCCACCGTTTCCGTTTTTGCATTTCGCTATGAAATATGAAGCAGTCAGGGACAGGACAGAGGCAGAGCGTCCTTTTGGGCGCTTCTAATTGTGCTGGAGAGTGCGGGGCAAAAAAAGGACGAGGGAAATAACAAACCGCCACTTGACTTTCATGCATTTGCTGCTTAACTTTCCCGACATTTATAATGGCATTCGTTGTGGGCTTCGGGCGCAAAAGAAATCTGCTTGGTTAGTTTCTAGGTGGCCTTGTGCCTAAGCGTATGCAGGCACTTCAGTTCTCTCCGGCATCGCATCCTCGAGCTCTCATCTCATCTCATCTCTCGGCAAACGGCTGAGAAAACTGGGCTGGAACCCGGGGGCCAAGTGGGTAACAGAGCGTGTTCGGAATCCTCGTTTTCCTCTCGTCTCGACATCTCTATGCATGTTGAGCATCATACCCGCGGCTTATCCTTGGCGATGCACATAAAAGAAAGTATACTGGAATTATCCTGTGACTCAATAAGTTTTAGATATATTGTAAATAAATTTCTATTTATATTAATTATTTATATTTGTGAGTTTCTTTATAATTAGCTTATTAGGGTAACCTCACAAAGACTTGTTTAAAAGCATATACCTAAGGAGTAGCCTGTCTTTTCTCTTATAGTTTATTTCTGTTTATCACAAGTATATATATATTATTATTTTATATTTGCTAAGCTATGAAACATTAATTTTTCTCCATGCACTTGCACTCGAGTTGCTACATCTAAAGCGACACAATCCCCTTCTTCCCTTAAGCCACGGATGTTTATGTTGTCAACACAAATTGCACTTTCAGCTCGCCGTGTGATGTTCAAGTGCCTGTTAAGAAGATGATCCACCCACGTGTCTTAATGATGCTACAAGGAATCTTGCCCAGCACCAAACCACCCCCTCCTCCGAGCTGCAACAATGCGCCACTTAATTATGAAAAAGGCCGCCTCGAGTGTCGACTGCCGTTGGTCGTTGGTTGGTCCTCGGTTGTCGGTTGTCCTGGGATGAGATCCTGCGCCATGCCAGCACACTTGCCACCATAACGCCCCATCTAACTGCAGATTTACGAGCCAGGCTAATCCCGTTCGCTTAGCGCATTAAATCAGCTCCGAAATGGCCATAAAATTGCCCTCGCCTACATGGCAAACATTTCAAAAATTGACAATTTATTGCTAGAGTTGCGTGGGACATAGAGAGGGAAGGGGAAAGTTTTTTTTACAAAAAAAGGAATAAAAAAAGTAAAAAAAATATAAAAAAAGGGAAAATTAAAGAATATTTTTAGAGAAGTCGATATGGGGATACCTTTGTTAAAGGAAAAGGAATTATCATAGGAATTTGGGGTTCATTTGATTTATAAACAAAAATGTATTTATAAATATAATATGAACATTGAGTCTTATATATATTATACCTATATTAATTAAATTATAAATTATATAGACGCACGAAATATTGAATTTTGATCAATAGTTCAAAGACTTTCGATCGATAAAGTTAACTCATGATCTTTGTGGACTACAGCAAAACATACAGTAGAAATTTTTATATTTTGTATAAAATAAAGTTCTATTACAATATAGCTTATAGAGATGTAAAGAAAATACCTCACAGACCTCGGATATTTTTTATCTAGGATCCTTTTCTTTTCCAAAATTTTTTGTATCACATTTTAGAACCCCAAAAAATCAGTGATCTCCCGCCATTGGTCATTCAAAGTTATCTCTGAATGATAAAAAAATACTGGTGTGTGCCCACAGCATCTGGCGCGAATTCTCCGAGTGCTTGGGCCAGATTTATATTGCATTTGATTTTGATTTTTGTTTGCTTGTGGTGTGGCAATACACACACACAACCCCCCACAGACACACACTCTTTTGGGGGCGACATGCAGCTGCAGTTGCCTTTGTTACATGCAGTTTTACATATACAATATGGCCATTGTTATGATTTATGTGCTGAAATATTTCGGGCGCGCTTCCTGCAAATGTTTGCCTTTTATGTGAGAGCGTTAAGCGGAGGAGGAGTATGGCACAGGACACACCATTGAAGGGGCGATTTTTGTGTTTAACCCGGCCAAATTCAATTTCAATTTGCACCCCATCAAAGACAAACAAAAGTCTTTGAACTTTTGGCCATAAACATATTGGGGATTTTCGTTTTTCCCATGTTTTTTGGCATCCCCCAGTCTGTGAAAGCGGGACACATGTGGAGAGCCGCCGTCGCTGTCGGCTGCAGTTGTCGGTCTGGGGCGTTACTCCTTGACGCTAAGTCCTGACGCCCTTTGCCCTTTGCCTTTCGCAGGGACGGTGCCATAAACAAATTCGTTTTATGCACTTACACGAGTGCCTACGCCACCCTCCGTCGAAGTCTCTGGCGTAATTGAATTCCATTTTCAGCGCCTTCAACTCTTTGGCCACGCTGCAAAGTGCTCTTTAAAAGCCAGATACAGCTTCCATATTTCTAAAAAAAAAAAACAGGGAAAAAATCCAGTGAAACCCCAAAACAGTTCATCTCTGGGCCAACCAGATGGCAGATCTGAAAGTGCCCCTTGGGCGGGGCAATTCATAAACGGAAATGGCAGTCAAACGTGTTGGCCAACACAGACAACGCCGCTGCATTGGATCTCGTTCGCTCAGGGTCCTCCGGGAAATGCAACTGTTGCCCTTGCATTTGAGTTTTGGATTTCATTGTTGCCCCTACCTCCGGGTCCTGGCATCCCAACATCCCATCCGACATATATGTCCTGGTCACCAAGTGGCATGCGTTTCTAATTTCCTGGCTGCCCGGCAAGCCCTAACTGAGACCGGTCCTGCCTCCTCCTCTACTCGAAATTGCAGAGCACACAAAATTTATAAAACGATTGCGGGTGGTCCTAGCAGCTTTTAATGTGTGCCCGGTCCGTCGGCATTTCGATTAATTGAATTTGCAATGGCACTGCAAAACTGACAGGCCGACTGACAGACAGATACAAGATACAAGAGGCAGCCCGATGATGATGATGTATTAACACCAAGCCTGATGGGCAGCAGCATCTGGAGCTTAAATGCCAAGGAGAATTGGTAGAGAGATTCCCGAGTTTAATGAGAGGACAATTTTAAGTTTAAATATCTAGCAAACACAAGAAGTGATTCGCATACACAAACTGAACCGATTTACAAACAGGACAATCAACTTCATTGATTGCACTGACAGCATTTACCGCACGTTTTTTCGCGCCGTTTTTATTAATTGCAAGCTACTGCCAGGACTCGGCTTCTGTGGACTCTCTCTTTCGGTTGGCCGAAATGCCAACCAGAGGACAATTAATCAATTTGCAGCTTAATTATCGGTCCTGGGACAAGCGAAATCAGAGTAAGACAAACATTTTGCATTCAGTCAAACCAAAGGAATGAGGTTGACCTGTGCTCTCAGGGTAATGATATCAGGGAATGTGTTATAGGACCTGCTTTAAGGATATTTTTTATGCCAACTTGAGGTGATTAACTATAGCAATGCATTCATAGATTTCTAGATATTTGCTTTGGTGGGTATGGTTTAAAAAAGAACCAAAGAAATAATGTACAAGTTTCCTTACTTTCTTAAATCCGTGAAATATTTTTTGACTCGTAACTAAAAGCTCTGTATCGGGCAGATTAAAATGGCATCAATTTTAAAGTGGCATAGCTGGGAAAACAGTTTTTCATCTCGGGTGTTAGCCAGAGGGTTTTGTGGAATTATGCGACACGACCTAAGCTGTCGCCGGCTTCATGTTGCATTTTGCCGGCGGCGTCAGCTGGCAATGTGACGTTGTTGGCCCATTTCACGCCCTCTCAGCCTTTTCAGCCATTTTGGCTCATTCCGTATGCACTCAACGCATTAAGTGGCGACATGTGTTACACTGAAGACAGAGGCTCCAAAAAAAAAGGGAAAGCCTCGGGTGGGTGGGAGGTGGTTTGTGATGACTCTGCCTTTCATCTGTTGGGCTGTTAGTGGGGTGTTAATAGAATCCAGCGGGCACTGAGCTGCATTCTAATATGCATCAGTGGTTACAACATGACCCCAGCCAGACCCGGGTCCCAGTCATTAATCAAATGTTGATGCCGGATGCTGTCGGTTTTTTTTCGCTCTGACTCCGAGACAACCAAAGTCGAATTTGGAAAACAAGGAAACAGCCGCTAGAATTCTCCAATTAGCTAATTCCGACACTTTCCTTGGTTTTCAATTTTATGCATATTTTCTGCTAATTAAGTGGCGTCGTCATGCCAACTGCATGAGCCTGGCTCACTCTTCCATTTTAAGCCCTGTCGGCAAGTGGCTAAAATGATTTAGGTGGAACATTTCTGAGGTCTGAAAATATCCAGGCAAAGGAGGAATGACCTAAAATCGCAAAGAGCGATCATGAATTCATGAATTTGTAATTTATTGATTTATACTATTCTCTTTAATCAAAAACTTTTGGTTAATTTTACATTTTATTAATATTTCATTGCTAATGAAATGCAATTGACTTTTGGCAAGCATTGGCTTGTGTATTCTAGATATATTAAATTGATATTATCGTAACGGTATACATATATCTAAATATGTAAATAATTTATAAGAAAGTTAGGCTGTTTAACTTTAAGTAAATTAAAAATCAAAAAGTAGGGTCCATTTCAACAAGGGAATTAATTGGTCATTGTAAAGACTTACCGTCATTGCTTAATTCCTTCTGGTGTAGAGTCATATTCCTGGTGACTTAATTAGGCTTTCCATAGTTCCATCGAAGTGATCTTCTTCTTGATTTTCGAGATTATCAGATCAGATAATATATTTGGGTCGAAAGGCAATCACTATCACTACACTATCACCACTATCACTATAGATGTAAACAGGACGAGGCCACGTACAGACTGAGGCCAGCGGGACGGGTGTGCCTCTATTTATAGTCCCGAGTGAAGAGAACAGAGAAGTGAGAGCGAGAGAGTAAGAGCTATCTCTAGAGAATGGCAGAGAGGGATGGAGCGTAGTAGGCATCTCTACAGTACTCTGAGAGGGAGAGAGACAGAGAGTCAAAGAAAAGCATTTCCCTCTGCATTACGATCGTTCTATGGCAGCTATATGATATAGTCATCTGATCAAGAATATATATACTTTATATGTTTGCAAATAATTTATTTACTCATTTGCAAACGTATAACTAAATTATAAGCCCTGCTAGTAAATTAAATGAACTATTAAAATAATTTGTAAACATATTTTCTTGGGCCAATACAATCACTGTGGTATATGAAACTTTCATCTCACCTACGCTCCGAATAGTAAAAGTATCCCCAAGAAGCTTTCTCGCCCTTTGTAATTTATTTATTAAACGCTTGGCCAAGGGAAAAGGCAAACAATTTGCGATGCCCTCGGGGAGAGTCACGTAGTAAATGCATAAAAATTCGGTAGCAGAAGGAAAAGTAAAGTCGAGTCCCCTCCATGCATTTATGCAAACTGCGAGACATTGTTGCGGGACCCGCATCTGCGCCAGCATTAAGCTGTGGTGCGTGTCCCACTAATTTGGGCCAAAAGGTCTTGGCACCCAGCACGCACCACATATAAAAGTTTTGTGAAAGCGACGGGATCAGCCGAAATGGAATTGCATGTCCAGAATAGTTGCCCAAGTCCTTCTTGTCACTTTGCATAATTCACGAGCTAAGCAACTAAAAGATGAGAAGTTGGGTCTCTGGGCTGCCTCTGTTCTGACCAAAGAGCAAAGAGCTCAAGGAATGGCAAAGCGGTCTCATTATATGCATCGAAGGAACCACAAGCTGGTGGCAAACATATCAGCAACTAATTAATATCGAAAATTCAATTTCCTAATCAAATTCCTAGGAAGCCAAGGAATACCACAATCTGGAAAACTATTTACAATGCATTTCTAACCAGCTTTTGGAAGCAAACTAGAAGGGCCTTGAGGTAATTTTGATAGGGTTAAGATATATCTAGCATATGCTTATACAATAATACATAAACCAGATATATTCCAGTTAATTAAAGTTATTTAGAAAGCTTGCTGGAAACCTTTGACTGCAATGATAGAAGACCTTTATAATTTCCAAAGCTAGAGAACACAAATGAATAGAAATATGGAAACATAGAAAGAGTTTATATAATAAATTAAAACTATAGATATTTAAAGAAAAACCAATTTATTTATAATTAGCAGGCTTTGAAGTAATACTATTCCCTCCATACATCTACCATGGGTATTTAATTTAAGTTAGAAGTTGTAATGCTATAAGGATTCATTTCAGACTGTACAAATCATATAAATTATTGATCAGCCGAGATTTGATTTGGCGAGAAAATTCTCATCAAAAACCCAGAAATATCGATTCAATATATGCAAATATTCAAAGCTTAGTGATAACCGATTCTATCCTATAAGTCAAATGCGAACTTAAAGAGCATATAAACTTCATCTTCCGAATTAGCTTCCATTTATGTTTTTATTGTTTAATATCTTTTTTTTCGCTGACCTTTCTCCGAAGGACTCCGCTCCACATCTGGCTGCACCCAGCAGCATCCAAATGAATGTTCCAAAACAGACAAACCATTTAACTCGTCCACCTCCTGCTCCTTGCGCCGAGCAGCTGCAACCACAGAACTGCGTTCATCTGCTAACAACGCAACTAACAACGTTGCCAATCCCCGACGCCGCCCGGGACAACAATAACACCAGCAGTTGGGGCCACCCAGCCAGTAGTCCGCCAGCTCACCGCAGTTAATTTGTTGTACAAGCCCGCACACAAATAAAGCGGCAACAGGCAGCCCGGAGAGGAGAGGAGCGAATCGTTTGCTTTGAGCCAACAGGCCACTCTTTATCCAGTGGATGACTGTTTTCAAATTTACAGCATGTCAACAAGCACCAGCACCCAATGCTCCTGCTGCTGCTAGGTCCAGTGGTACCAAGTGGTCCCCCATCGCATTAACCATATGGACGAGGGGCTAGGACACTGCAGTTGGCTTCTAAATTGTGTAAATACATATTACGCATACGCACTGTTGCGCCTGCCTCCTGCCTCTTGCTGCTGCCATGCAAACGCTGCTCGTTCTTTGTGTTTGCTGAGCCAAGGAAAACTCAATTTTCCTGCATGCAATGATGGAAAACTTTACGTGCAATTGACTCGCAAAAGCGAACAACTCCAGACTACAGTTGCCATTGCAGTTCCAGTTCAAAGGTCCAATTTGTCTTGTTCCAGCATATTTTGCAAGGAGCAGAGTTCTTGCTTTTTCGGTTACAACTATAGTTGCAGTTTTAATAGGGTCTTATGAGGGGTACTTTCTGGCGTAATTGTCGGTAAGTATTTACAAGAATTTATTTCAGATTCTGTTATAACGATTTTACCATAAAATTAATATTAACTCAACTTATCCTTGCTCAGAACTTTGATGGATTTATCCTAAAATATATTTAGTAAATCATGTAAATTATAATGATATTTCCTTCATACACATCTATCTCTTGCATATAAAAACTCCCTTAAAGTAAAAATATTCCCCATAAAACGCACGTGTTGCAAACAATCACCTATTTCGGACAATGCTCATGAAATCAGAGAAAAACAAAAGGAGCTTAGAAAGAAATCAGGATTTTCTTCAAAACTCCAAACCAGTGAGAGAATTCGCCGCATGGCAAACACGTTTCGCATTGATGTTGAAATTGTTACTCGTTACTCCCTTTCTTTTTTTCGCCCAGTTGAGCTCACATTTTATGGTCAAGTTGCATTCTGTTTCATTTATATTTCATGTGTGGTTCTCTGCCCTCCCTCCGGCTCCTCGCCGGCTGCCCAAGACAGTCTCACATTTTACTTTTCCTATTAATGTCAATTTAAATGTTCAAACACTTTAGTTGTTTCTGTGGCAGCGCCAAGGGACCTGGTCTGGGCCGTTGTCTGGCTGAGATATTGTTTGCACAAAAGCACTTAAAGACTGCATTACTCCACCTAGATTATCGCTCGGAAAATGGTTAGTTGGATGGTCCACTATCCACTAGAGTCCCGAGTCTAGAGGAAAAACCCCTTCCTTCCTTCTCCCAGTCATTTGTGGCAATTTGCGTGCTCATTGTTAATTTGATTTTCAGTTTGTGATAAGCGAAAAAACACCTCGACGGCTCCTGGAGGCTCTGGGCGGAGTTGGCGCATAATTGAACGATAAATTAAATAAATGCAATGAAAGCACCAAAAACCAAAATGCATTCGAACGTAAAGCGGCTATTTTGGAGCCATTTTCGAAGGCAATTGAACTGTTAACGTGAACTCTTTCATCCTGATACCCAACGGCCACGACTACGTAATTGATGAGCATTTAGAAGGACCAGGAAAAAGAACACCCAAGCCTTTAAAAATTTATAGCACGCCTATTTAAAACTCGCTAAAAAGTTTCCCATTGTTCCTTATTAATAATACAATACAAAAAGCGTTTAAACAATACCTTTCTACCTTGCCATTTTAATATTTATATGGTAAATGCAAAGGAAAGATGTCCCATAAATAATAAAATCGCATTTTAAAATGCTTGCTAGAGTGAGTCACAGGTTTTTCTTTTGTTATTTAATATTATATTGAATTATTCATGCTTTTTAATTCAACCACCTCAACATTAAATATACTTAAATAATTGAAATGATAGGCAATGTATTTGGAATGCCAAAAAACTCAGTTGCCTAATTGATAAGTGTTGAATTTCCTTATTTTATTGACCCAAGTGGAAACATAACTTAATTTAAATTCTTTGAATATTTCCCTCATAATTTCTGGCTAATTGAGGACTGCTTAAATACTTGCCACATTAAATGGAAGCCCATTGAATGCGAAGGACTTTTGTCTGGACTCGAACGAACTTTGATGTTTTTGCCGGCTTAGACATTCCACGGTCTGGCAGTCACTGACCCATTGGAGCGCAACTGGGCAGTGTGAGGAGCGGCAGGCTTTGAGCTGGCCTTCACAAAAGGCTAACCAAATTTAATATTTTCCCACCTCCCGGAAGGGGGAAGCACCCAAAATGAGTAATGATTTCCCAGTGAAGAAGGAGGAAAGTATGTAGAAGAAGCTCCGATTAGCACTCAGTTACTTTATACGACCTCCAATTTAGCGATGAACAGCCTGAGCAAGCGATCGCCTTACACCCAGATTGGGTTGGGAGCTGCCGGCGGCTTCCTCACCGGCTTTGTGTTCCTAAAGACCAGCAAGTTGGTGGCCTTGGCAGCCGGAGGCGCGATCCTGGCCATCGAACTGGCCATGCAAGCAGGCGTGATCCAGGTGGACTCTTTGAGGTGATCCACGAGCCGGGCTCTGATCAGGCTCGAGGACAGGTACGGATTGCTGGACAGACCCATCACCTGGAGGCTTCAAATCTAGCCAGTATCGAGCTGCTGGGCGAGAAGGCCAGGAAGGCGTGTGCATCCAGCCGAAGGCTATGTGTGGCCTTTCTGGGCGGCTTTCTGGTCGGCTTTGGCTGGGCTTAACCATGGCAAATTACCCTACTCCTGTACGAAAAAAAATATACATTTAAAACTGTACACGAAAGTTTCCACCTCTAATGCTCTCCGCAAGCATTTCACTCGGCTCACAGGGAAAGTTTCCATAACAAAAGCCTTGAAAATTTTATAGAAATGCTCTTAACAAATAGCCGAGCCGCTCTCTACACTCCCACACACTCACTTTCGAGCAGGCATTTAAAGTTTTTGCACCGCATAAAAAGCGTTCCTGCAAAAACTTCAAAGTTGTAACAACATTTTCATGCGCTTTTAAACATTTCAATTTGCAGCGCTGGGGCGAGTGAAAATTTATGCATAAGCAAAGTTTTTCATAACCAAGGCAATGGCTTTCCATGTGCCAGTTTTGTGCCGAGAATGCCGACGGAAAAGGGACATGATTATCCCGAGAATTGTGTGCTGGCTTTGCACCCACTGGGAATGGGAATGGGAATGGGGAATGTCAGGTTAGGGAACCGATTCAAATCACTTGCACATATTTATTGGATTAGCTTCTGGCGAGTGCAATATGCGAACCTGACCATGAATGTCACGTCTCAACTACTATTTGACATGTGGCCGAGACGCTTTTATCTATTTTCTTGCATTGCATTTTCCCAGGCAGCTCCCGCTGGCAGCAAACCGAAAATAAATATGGCAGACCAATGCCAGGAGCAGTGCCGAAAAATGGAAACCAATTTAAATCGAGACTGAAACCCAATCCGGAACCAGGCCCCACGATTCGCACGCATCACGTACGGATATAGGGGCGCACATGTCGTATGAGCAATGAAATTTGCATTTGCAAAAGCCAAAAATTGTTTTCTTTTGCGGCCAGCCGCCTCCATCCCCCCACCCTCTCTCGGAACCGAATTTAAAGTCCAATCTGACGTTTTAATTATGCAAATCCCCCGATTGCCAAATAATAGATAATCCCAATTAGCAAGGTAAGGCCCGTGGGGGAGGCGTCGCAAATTAATTGAAAGAGTGCGGCTGCGAGAGGACGTTCCGAGGATAAATGAAGTTGAAAGTTTGCCCTGTGATTAGCAATCAGCACTGCCACTAAAAAAGTGAATGTCGCCACCAAGTGGAGAGGCGATTCGTGGTCCTCGAATCAATTAATTAAAGGTGATAATTGCCGGCTTAATTAGCAAAGATTGAACAGATTTCCCGGACAAAGGAGAGCTCGGTTTACGTTTGACCGAAAATATGTATTTATCAAAACATTTACTTGGCCGGCACCACAAAAACGTGTGTAAGCTCGGATAATTCCATATGCTCTGGAAATCCACAAAACACAAAATCAAATTTCACTAGGCAAAACAATAAATGGCCTGTAATTGTTGTTGCCAAAGCAAAACGTATCCGACACCGTCTAAGCACTGCCTGCGTCTGTAATTGTGCAATATGTCCAGCAATTTGACCAAAACTGAATTTGCACAGAACCGCAAATAGCCAAATTGAAAATAGCTGACCGAGACCAGACCAGGGGAATTATTAAATTTGAATTTAAATTAATTTTCAGGCAATTATTGTGTGTGAATCTGTGAACAGTGGGAGTGAAGCATTTAATTGTAGATTTCCTTGCGCCTGCCAATAACTCGATTAAAACTTGAACAACTTCAGAACAGCTCCTGCTCCAGCTCCTGCTCCTGCTCCTGCTCCTGCTCCTAGCTCCAACTTCAAAGCTCCTGCAGAGGCTGCTCATTAAATTCTCATGCTTGCCTGCAGTCCCAGGTAAAATACGAGCATCGGCATCGGCACTACGATTGCAATTGCAATGGCAAACGTCTCGCATCGCACAATGCCCTCCTCCTCTTCAGGTAGCTTGGCTCTGTGTTTTCCTTTCTTCTTGGCCCGCAGCCTCTTCATTTTCCGCTGCCACGGCCTTTGTTGTTAACATAAAAGCGGAAAAACGTGGCAAGAAGACGACAGGGCAGGGCTGACCTACGGCGGGGAAAAAATGTGAAAAAAGCGAGAAACTATTACAGCGGAAATGCACTTAGATCAAAATTATAAATTATAAAAGACCTTCAAGACAAGGACATGCTGTCGAAGTATTTAAGAAGTTTATGTGAATGTCTTTAACTAAGCTTGAAGAAACTACAATAACAATGTTTTGTGGCATTATAAATAGACAGATTTATTTGATTCTTTAACTCCACTTAAACTGAATATCCTGATTTTGTTTAAAACTGATTTCAAGTTTGAGGGAATTACAGCAAAAACAAGGCTAACCACATGAGTTTCCCTGTGGATTTACACCAAAACCAAATGAGAATGGAAACCGCTGCTCACTCCTGTTAAAATCAGAAACAATCGCTTCTCGGAAAAACTGATTGATAGTTTAGATATTGAACTGGACGAATCGTGTGGCTAAGCCACAGGAATCGAAACAAAAACCAGACTGCAAACTGGAATGATGCATTTCGAGTTGTTGTCATGGCAATGAATTTAACAAATCATTTGTGGCGAAGCTGCATTCAAGCGGATCAATTTAATGAAGTTATTAAAATCACCAGCAGCAGAGGATATATCCTCCAATTGCCTATTAGCGTTGGTTTAACTTCTTTAAAGTCCTGCCAGAGCTTCTAGAGACTGCAGACTAAGCCGTGCCAGGCGCAGGCGGATGTAATTTCCAGTTCAAATTGCCTTGGCCATGTCCAGGTCCGGCCGATGCCTTCAATAAATCCAGCCAGTAGGCGTGGATGAGCTGGCTATCTGACTCCCACATCTGCCAGCTGACCGGCTGTCTGGCTACCTGGCTGCCTGGCATTACGTGCAAATAGCTACGTGAAATTATTTCCGGAATCGGTAACTAATATCACTTCGTTTGAGTGTCTCTGCCAGACTGGCAATGAAGTTGCCGCAAAGTTCTCCATCTCCATCAGCTCAGAGTCAAAGTCAAACAGTGCAGTTGAACTCAAAGTGCATACAAAGGTATTTAAAAGGGTAGGAACTTTTGTTGATTTTTCAACTCTTAAACTACTATATCTTCCAATGAAAATTAATCTATGATTCCAAGACATTATTCCCCGAACTAAAGATAGTTGGAAACCCTTTCAGCAAATCGTTGCAGCACACTTCCTATAAATATACTTGGATACTTCTCTGACAGCCGCCTGAAACTGTCGCCATAAATGTTAATTAAATTAAAACGCTAATAGGCGTGAAATATGATAACACACAGGTACAGCTACACACTGGCGTAGGGAGCAGGAGACAGGAGCTCCCAGGAGCAACCAGGACAGCAGGTGGCGAAAGGAGCAAAAAACCGTAACAGCTGCCGCCTGGTATCCTGCCGCCTGCGGGGCAAGAAGCGAGCGAGTGGAGCTGTGGCATGGGAATTGCCAAAGTTGCCGCTCACTTGATTTTCAGAATAATACTCGTAATAATTAAAATGGAAATTAGAAATGGGCCGAAGGCGGCATCGTTGCCAGTCGAAGCATCTGCCAAGGGAGAGGCAAGGGCAAAAAAGGCAGACAGACAGATAGAGAGATGGAAAACGGGAGACCGGGGGGCGAGTTACCACTTGGCTGCCTCCTTGGGCCCGGGAAAATGTTGCCTTTTGGTGGCGCCTAATTAAAAGGGATAAGTGCCGGGGCAGGTGCGAATCAAGTGGGGAGAGATGTGGCATTATGGGACGGGAGCGGTCGCAGTTTGCGTAATTACTAATTGCTGTGATTATGAGGGTCAGGTGGGTAGCTCTGCAAATCGGCATCACACAGATACAGGGGTTTCTAGCCCCCATTTTTCTGTGTGTATCCCATCTTGTTGGCAAAGATTATTGTATCGTTAAAACGTCCTAAGAACATAATTTAGGAGGGGAGCTGCTTTTATTAAATTTATTATAATTCGTAGAATCACTTTTAGCTTTGGATTATACTCAGGGCTCTTAAAAACAATGCTTGAGTATTAAGTATATAACTAAATTAAGGAAAATCTGTGGGGTTTTCTAATCTTGGTTAATAAAATATATATATTTAAGTCATATTTAGATTGCGCAAGGAAGGTTTACTGAAATACTTTAACTTATGTATAGCTCAATTTTTAAGACACACAGTTTTGATTCTCTTTTCTTTTGACTTACTTTTAATTTCCTCTACCTTCTTGTAGTTTCAAGGTCTTTCCAAAGTTTTGAGTCGACCCATTTTGAGAACTCTACTGGACCGTTGCTCGGTGGTCTCAATCACTATCCACAAAATACACACGTAAGCCCAGTGACTAGACTCTGTCAAAAGCCATCGCCCGAGGGCGGATTTCCCCTCCATTTGCCGCTTCTGGCCGCTTCCTTATGTGTCTGCTTAAGTGCCATTGACAGTCCACACCGCAATGACAGGTGCTAAGGGGGGTGGGAGCGGTCAAGCTGCTTACTCGAAGGACATTTCCAGGACCAGCCCCGTGCCCCACATCAAGAGCTCTCTAATTTGAGTGTTGCTGTCAGGGCTGGGCGCTGGTATTGTCACAGATTTGCTGCTGGGCCCCCAAAAACTCCCCACCATTAAGATGATGAAATGTCCCTGAAGGTCACTAGGCAACCCTCGACCCCATTCACTTGTTGCCTATTAATTGTTATTAATATTTCACCATGCCCAGTCCGAAACCTTTGTGCACTAAGCGAAAAAATGACACTTTCTGTAGCGCAGAAAAGAAAAAATCATATAACATTCAGTCCTAAAAAAAAGCATTACATTTTCATGTATTTTTATCCTTAATAATCATACGATCTCTCCCTGAGTGTAGCCTGGATCTGGACTCGGCTTGATAATGCTTAATTTGCTGTTTAATTATGCATAGGACATTCTTTGTGGGCGTCCGGAAGTCTCTTCTAATTACACAGTTGTTTGTTATCTGGCAGAAAACACTGTTTTTGGGTCGCCTGCTTCTGTTTAAAGCGGCTTAGGATTGTCCATTCCTATTTTGTCCTGCCTCAATTCCACGCTTCCTTCATCCTCCAGCTGTACCCTAGGTTCACACATAATTTTCCACATCCTTTTCCGTTACACATGCAAACAGC